TTTGAGAGGGATAGGAACGACCAGGGGGAGGAGTGGGGTTAGAAAGGGTAACAATGAAAAATTCTAGTGATCGAGCAGTAATGGAATAGTAAACGGCTTGTATCCTACAATGGGGAGAAAATGTGAGGAGGATTGCTTTCACTGGTGTAGAAATAACTCTCTGATGTGTGATCAAGAGCTTTTATGTTTCTTGATGTGAAAACCCCTTAAGAACGACCGCTGGATGCTTGTTTTGTGTTAGAACGGGCTGATGTCGGGCCTGATGCAGATCCTCCTGCTCAAAGTGTCCGCTCACATCACCGAGCAGCTGGGCATGGCTCCAGGTGGAGAGTTCAGGGAGGCCTTCAAAGAGGTAAAACAAGCACCACCAACACAAAGACTTTTAATTAGCTCAGTTTGTATTTCATTCCTGAAGTCTGTCTTTTCGTCTACAGGCTGGACAAGTGCCCTTCTGTAAATTTCACCTCGGGGACAGGCCCATCCCTGTGACGTTCAAGAGGGCCATCGCTGCTCTCAGCCTGTGGCAGAAAGCCCGTCTGGCGTGGGGCCTCTGCTTCCTGTCGGACCCAATCAGGTATGAGTTCAACTTAGCCACTTTTCTGTCATCACACTTTGTTGTTGTAAGTCTCTCTCAGTAGCCCCTTTTCAGGCTTTTTTTACCCCCGCAAAAGTACTTTTTCAGCATTGCAGAAACCAGCACAGCAGGAGCTCCACATACACACACAGTCAGACATGCATGCACACGCAGCGCTGCGCTCCCCTGCTCTGAGAACCTTCAGTAATCCGATCTAAAATCCGACATGGCTGTCCCATGCGTCAACAGTAACGTGTGAGCTGTAACTGTTGTGTTTATGAGCAGCTTAGTCCTCTTTGTGTAAATAAACAAACCACACCGATAGCATCCACTCCTGGAGGCGTCCATGTTGCTTGTCCGACTTGGGACCAACTCGCAACTGGAACGCGGTTCACTGTGTGACGTCGATCCCAGCTCCGAGTTTCGACCTAAATGAAATGCACCATAAGTATCCCCACTACACCTCCGGACACTTAGATTGGCGGCTAAACATCACAGGGCCGCTGCGTAAACATGGCGGCTTGAAACGGCGGTCTGAACAAGGCTAATATCTAACCTTAGACACTGCTGCTTTAAAAATAATGTAGATCCACTCTGTTTGCTATTTTGTATTCTGCACTGAAGATGCCCCGAGATTCACCACATTTAAATCCCTACTCATATTACCAATACCCGTAAACGTGGATAAAAGTAAATGTTTGGTAAAAACAGTTTATAAATCGAGACTTTAACCGTAGAAGCTCATTCAGGTGGAAGTGTTTCTGACTGAATGCACATGGATTAGAGCTGAGAGGGCCGAGAACACAGCGTGCGCTCTCATTGGAGCTTACATTCGGTGCAAATGTTGGTAAAAAAATAATCTGGAGGAACTGTGGTATCAGCAGCATTCTGCTTGAAGCAGTTTGTGTCTGGGAAAATAATGCAGCTCCACAGAATAAGAAGTATGAGGAGAGAGTGTGTTTAATAGGAGGGGAACATGCGCCCACACGTTTGACAGAGAACTTGAAACTCTGCCAAATGTTTTAAGCTGCCCGTGTCTGTGAGCCCTGACTGAGAGCTTTGTGCTTCCAGTGATTGTGAGTTCATCCTCACAGCTCTCTCATTGAGCCCATAAATTGCTGTTAAGGCTTTAAAGTATGTTTTGAAAGCCTATTTTCCAGCCGATTGGCACCGCCTGAAAACGTCTTCTTAGGCTAAACACTCGCTGAGTGCTGATTCAGCGACGCAATCCTCCGACTTATCTATTAGAAGAGCGAAAAGACAACAAGCTGAAAGGTGTCTTAAACTCTTCTAAAAGTGCAAAAGATTTGCTCAAAATTAATTTTTCACTAAGATGCAGACAACAAAAACAAATTAACCCTAAATATAATAAAGTAAAGCCTGGTGCCATGTAGGATGAGGACTTTTTCAGGGTTAAAAATGTTGAAAAGAAATGTAACTGTAAGAGCCAGACGAACAGAGACGTGTCGGCCTAGACGCAGACGCCCCCAAAACGCCTGAGCACATCTGGGGGGAAAGAACAGCTGGGAGCACCTGTGGAGCGAGGCTGAGTGTGCATACGGGCAAACAAATAAAATAAGTGGGGGGTGGATTCAAGCAAACGTAGAGCTCTCGCTGTCGCTCATGTCCCAGACGAGGAGCGGCGAGAATGTCATAAAAAGCAGCAGAGAAAATGCACCAGAGGGAAACAATGATTCTGCTGGCCATGCTTTTCTAGCGACACATCTGTGTGATCAGGCCCTTGGAGGATTTAACAGAAAAAGATTAAGAACACTATAAGCACTACTACAAATCTTAATTCATGTTCCTCTTTCTGTATTGTATACTGTCATAACTAAGTGTAGGAGATATTTATTTTTTAGTATTTAATTTAAAGAGTAACTAAACCCACAGACCACTTAAGTCAGATGAAAACCTCTGCTGTTAGATAGTGTTACACAGTTACTGCCCTCTACTGGTGGAAACCCATCTACTGCAATTAAAGGTCCAATCAGTAAGATGTGTAGTGAGTGAAATGATAAAGTGACCTTACTATATAATCAGACATTAAGGAAACATGCTATGTTGAAGTGCTGGCTTCTCTGACAACAATGCAGCAGTCAGTATGTCCTCCTTCTAACTTTAGATTCTGCTCCTGAATGCTCTGGATTTGTTTGGACCAGAGAAGGTAGGCGGTTTTAAGGCGACCACCCCACACGGCCGCTTTGGACGCCCTAGGATCAATATTGGAGATGCTTTTGAAAAAAAAAGAAAGGTTTACAGACCGATGCAGAGCTGGCTAAACACTGAAGCTTCAGTGTCCACCACATGGCAACCTGTGTGAACATGGACTCTAGAGAGGAGGGGGCGGGGGGAGACAGCTCTCTACAATGTTTTGAATTTGGACTGCAGTACCCATTTTAAACACTAGGGGTCAGAGGTACATATTGCTCCTTTAATCGTGTTTGATTTTTTTTGCGACTACACTGTGAACAGAAAACAGGAATGTGTCGTCTTTGCTCCGTGTTCATCAGAGACTGTGTGTGTTGTGTTTCAGCAAAGAGGATGTGGAGAAGTGCAAACAGAAGGACCTGCTGGAACAGACCATGTCGGAGATGATCGGAGAGTTTCCTGCTCTCCATCAGACCATCGTGGCTGAAAGAGACATCTACCTCACACATACGCTCCGCCAGGCTACACGCTGCGTGGAGGCCCCTCCTAACGCCCAGAGTACGTATCACTGTTGCATTCACATGACAATACAACACTGATTGGTTTAAATGTAATTATACTTCATCATCAGACCTGCAAATCTTTGAATTATCAGCCTACTGTACATCCATCAACTTAAAAAGATATGACATCATATCCCAGCGAGTGATGAGAATGTGGTGTGAAGCCTCAGAGACATTTTAATGGAAATGCTTAGTCATTCTTATCTTGAACAGAGTGATGTCATGACCTGTAATTCAGAGCACCAAGAGGGATTTTTCACTCAACAGTCATTTTGGTTTGAAAACAATGACGCAGGAGTGTGTGCTCTTTAATCCTGCAGCGCTTTCAAACCTGCACAAAACTCTTGAAATAACGTCCTGTAGGTTTCTGCAGAAAGTCAGAGTGAGCTGATATGAGAACGCAGCAGGATATAATCAGGAGAATTCTCCTGGAGCGAGTGGGAGGGGGTGGTGACCTTTATTCCCTGTGATCGCTGCACGACCATAGACTGTCTGCACGCCATCGCTACTATCTGCGAACTCTGTTGCTTCGTCCGCTACTTCCCCGTCTTTTTTTTCAGAGTCTTCTATACAACTCTACATTGAGAATATGTGTCTTTCTATCAATGCTACATGTAGTTGAACAGAATCTCAATGTGAACTAAAGAGTAGAGAAGAACATACTGGAGAACAGGAAACATAATGCAGCAGGTTCATTACAGCACAGAGATGGTAGAGGTGGCGTGCAGACAGTCTATGGTCGTGCAGCGATCACAGGGAATAAAGGTCACCACCCCCTCCCACTCGCTCCAGGTGAATTCTCCTGATTATATCCTGCTGTGTTCTCACATCAGCTCACTCTGACTTTCTGCAGAATAAATATGAGGAGGCTGGAGGAGAAACTCCAGCTAAAGAGAGAAACATTCAGCTGTTTGTGTTCACACATGACACTCAATCTGGAAATATCAGGAGTTTATCAGGAGTTGTCTTCAAGCTGTGAAAGCAAGCTAACAGATCATTTCATCCCGTGCAGAAGTGCCTGCTGTGGTGGTGGGAGTTGTGGGGATGGGTCACGTCCCCGGAATAGAAAGAAACTGGGAGAAGCAGCTGAACATCAGTGAAATCATGAGGTATGTTCGTCCTGTTCCACTTTACAAACATTGCGTCACATAATGAAAGTGTATGACTGCTGCTGAATGTGACCCGTCTCTTCCACAGCGTCGCACCTCCCTCGCGGTTCGGCTGGGTGCTGCGCACGGTCATCAAGGGTGTGGTGGTGGGGATGCTGGGATACGCCTGCTACAGAGCTGGAGGGAGTTTGGGTCGTGTCCTGCTGTCTTCACCTGCTGTCCAGTCTTTTCTGGACACTCTGCGGCCCCCGCCTGCTTGACCCCCCCGCTGGCTCTCACGATGCCTCTGATTGGGACCCTAAGTCTGAAAAAGAATAAAGTTCACCAATGGCCTTAAAAAAAAAAAACACAGGAAGTGAGGCTGGAGGAAATGTTTCACCAGCTCACACGTTGAGCTGAGAAGGACCTCAGGGGGGGCTGAAGCCTCCCACCTCGTCTCGATGTCCTGTAGACGCTGCAGGGCCGTACTGCCAAAGATAACCTCGACAGTACTCCTTGATTCTTTTCTATTTTCTACAAATCCTGCAATTTGTAAAGTTTCCGAATGCCAATGGTTCCCTTTGAATTGATTAACATTCCCCCCGCCATTCCTTTAAATGACTCTCCCACACAGACACACAGACACACACACACACAGTTACATAACATTTATCCATGGAAGTCATCTCTCCTGACGTGACTGAACAGCATCTCCTGATTCCTCCCGCCTCTCTGGCGCCGACCAGCAGTTTTGGTAAACGGCCCATTTCAAGTCCAGCACTTTATAAGAGACTGTTGGGAGTCCAGTCAGTAAAGCATCAAGTCGTTCACAGATTATCACAAAAGAAAGATCAGAAAAGTGTTTGTAGTTGGAGCATGGAGTGTAGCATTATCTTTGACACGTCTGGAATAATCTACATGAAGAGAATATTCTTCATGACACACACACACAGGAAGAACAAAATAAAAGAATGACGGAAGACGATATTTACTTTGATTAAAAAAACAAACAGTCCTGGCCACATTAACAGACAAGTGCCTCATATAGCAGCTGAAAAAAAGGTGTTACACTCATCTTTACACACCTGTCCCTAATGCTCGATGTACGTGTGAAATAATGTGTCTTCATGTAGGTATATGACAGGCCTGCTTGTAAACAGACTGTTACTCTAAATAGAAAGCATCTAGTTTGTGTGGGTGTCAAATGAAACGGCACCACAGCCCCGTGGTTTTCCGCTCGCTCAGATGTCCATGAGACACAGAGGCCGGGCTCAGGTGTGCCTCAGGATGCAGTCATCTTGTCATTCATCATTTTTTTTAATTGTACCTCCGATCTGAGGCCGTTTCTCATGCTGGCTCCGTCTCTTGAGTTGGTTGATACTTGACACAAAAATATGCATCTTTTCAAGTCCTCCTCGTGACAAAAGGTCATTCAGCACACCAGCTGTTTGTACTTTTTATGATATATGCATCATCAGTCGCCCCTCTGCTTATGAAAAGGACATGTAGATAGTAAACATGAAACGGTTTTTGTTGCTCTTAAATGAAGGAGTCAGTGGAGACGTGTTCTGACTACTGCAGAGGAGACGGACGCTTCGGTTTTGGGAAGTTAAGCCTTACACTGCTATCACTGCTGCCTTTGACCCTCAGACCTGTTTCCATTGTACAGAGCTTCTTATTGCACATGTTCAAATTGGCTCGCTGGCAAACCATCAGGAAGTGTTCCAATTAAAACGACAGTCTGATCAAGTATTTACACGGCTGTTAACCTACAGCGACTTCCAGGTATTTTTCCATCTTAATTTGAAGTGTTTTTTATGTCAGCAATACGAAAGACGTTTAATTACCCTCTTTGATTTGTGGAATTAACTATAAAATAAGTAAACAAAGCCGTTATTGATTAAACCGCTCATGTGCTCATGAATTAAACTCAGCCTGTCTTCCAATTGGTTAAATAATGACTGTATCTTTAAAGGTGAGAGATGAGGATTAAGAGGGGAACAGTAAAATAAGTTTAGAGAGTTCTTTCTCTCCACATCATCATCATCATCGTCTCCTAAGGTTTCATCTGCTGTTTGAGAGAAACTGTAAGAACGCCTGCTTTACTAGACGTCAGATTTGATCCTTTTCATTGTTAACAAACCAAACATTGATGCCCGACTTCTGTAATGAATTACTGAAACATTTTAAGTAAAGAATCTTTATTTGCCTGAAAGATGTTGCCCTTCTTTTTTTAACTGTGCTGTATAAAATCTGCTGCAAAGATTGATGTAGGGCTGCACAGTAAATCACTTTTATCTTAGTAGTTTTTTCACTGTTTTTATCGCAGAAATGCCGTAACTAAGCTGAGCCGTCATCACATCATGCATCCTTTAAGCGTTGTAGCGCAGCGAGAGCTCACACACACACACAGTCAGACAATGCACACACACACAGCGCTGAGCCGATCCCTGTCTCACTTCTGTAACGCCTCTGTTACTATATTGGACATGGTACAGAGGGGGGAATTCAGGGAGATTCAGATTGCAGCTTGAAATGGTGGTCTGAATGAGGTTATTATATGAGCGTTTTCAATAAACACATCACAAAGGTCTGCATTTTGCACTTCTGCATCGGCTTCATTTTTCAAAACTCGAACTGATGTAAAAGGTTTAATACAGAGAGGCGGAACAACTTTTTCTAAGAAGCCTTTTTTCTAACTTTGTCATTTGCCAGAGCTTCGGCCTAGAAAGTTCCGCCTACCCTGTTTGTTTCGGAACGGACTAATAATAATGTAACACCCAGTGACTCACAACATCCGCTGTTGCAGCAGGATTATGAAAGCGTGATTAGGTGTTCTTGGTGAAACTGCGCCAGCGGCTGATAGCTCACAGATGGCCCGGTGTGGATGGCTTATTTAGCACATCGGTTAGGACGATCACGGATCTTCCTGCCCTGTGTGCCCGCGCTCAGACTCATGCACGCGGGTGGAATGGACGACATGGGTCCGATAGTGAGTCGGTCTCCGCTGGAGCGACTCGATTTTGACAACGTCGCCCTGAGGAGGCTCCCCCTGGACCAGTCTGAGGAGCCGGGGGTGCGGCAGGTGAAGGGAGCGTGTTTCTCCCCGGTGAAGCCGTCGCCCCTGACCCGGCCCCAGTTCGTGGCGGTGTCTCGTGACGCCTTGGCTTTGCTCGGGCTCAGCGGGGACCAGGTCCTCAACGACCCGCTCGGTCCAGAGTACCTCAGTGGGTCCAGAGTCATGCCCGGGTCCGAGCCTGCAGCGCACTGCTACTGTGGACACCAGTTCGGACAGTTCGCCGGGCAGCTGGGCGACGGGGCGGCCTGCTACCTCGGAGAGGTGAAGGTTCCGCCCGGACAGGTCCCCGAACTGCTCCGGGAAAACCCGAGCGGCCGGTGGGAGATCCAGGTGAAAGGAGCAGGACTGACTCCTTATTCCAGGTAGAGGGTTGATGTCTTCTGTGTCAGCTCACTTTATTATTCTGTTCTTCCCAGAACTTCCAGGTGTATCGCTGTAACTGGTGACCGTGTTAACTGGCGACCTCCAGCCGGATCTGTTGTTGTCGTAGTTACAACAGTTGCCAAACGAATACCTGTTTGTGTAATATCAATTAAATCAATTTATTCTCGAGTTATTTATTTAATGAAAAACTTGACTAACAAGAACTGTTTCCGTTTTCATCATCTGTTATGATAATCACGACAACCACAGACGCTTTGGGTTAAGGTCTCCAGTTTACACGGTAACTAATTAAAGCGAAACAGCAGCAACTTCCCAAGTCACTTCCCTACTAAACTGGTCCAGAAGTCATGGCTTTACTCTTTAAACTGATTGTCTTATGGTCTAAGCATAACTGTAAACATCTTTAGTTTATTTATTTATTACACATATTCAATTAAAACTCAACTCAACATGTCTCCGTAGGTCAACTTAAAAAAACAAACTAATGTTTTAGAGCAGAGTGGTTTATAATCATGGTGTTATTTAGAGCTGTACAGCAAGGTCGAGAGAGATAGGCATGACTCAGCAGTTTGTGCCTTTTGTCATAAATCAGAGAGTTTAGACCAGGAACATTTATTCCCCCTTCATTTTCAGCCATGCAGATGTAGTCTCTAAAAGTGCTCACTTGTGTCAGATGTGTTGGCATTTGATTTCAACATGTGGTGATTAAAAACAAACTATCCACTATTGGGTGCTTCAGACTTCTATCTTTGTTACTATGGTAAGGAAACAGGCATTAATCAAATTATTGCGACAAGACTCGTCTGATTATCTTTAAAGTCTAATAAATAACGTGTTCTATGATGGGTATTGTATGTCATCAACACTTCAAAAGAGCAATTTGTAACTCTGACACCTAGTGTTTAAAGTGAGTACTGCAGTCCACATTTAAAACATTTTAGAGAGCTGTCTGCCCCGCCCCCTCCTCTCTAGAGTCCATGCTCACGCAGGTTGCCACTTGGTGGACACTGAAGCTTCAGTGTTTATCCAGCTCTGCATCGGTCTGTAAACCTCTCTCCAGTTTTCAAAAGCTCCTGGTCATTGTGTGATGTATTCTGTCCTTCGTAGACAAGCTGATGGCCGTAAGGTTCTGCGCTCCAGCATCAGAGAGTTCCTGTGCAGCGAGGTCATGTTCTTCCTGGGTATTCCCACCACTAGAGCCGGCTCTGTCGTCACCTCAGACAGCCGTGTAATACGAGACGTGTACTATAGCGGGAACCCTCGCCATGAGAGGTGCTCCGTGGTCCTTCGTATTGCCCCCACCTTTCTCAGGTGAGCGCAGGAAGTCACCTTTTATGTCTCGTGGATGTCTGAAGGTGTTTGTCTCAATCGTGATCTCTCTGAGCAGGTTCGGGTCATTCGAGATCTTCAAGCCGGCTGACGAGTACACGGGCCGTCAGGGTCCGAGCTACGGACGGGATGAGATCAGGGGTCAGATGCTGGATTACGTCATCGAGATGTTTTACCCCGAGATCCAGCAGAATTACTCAGACCGGGTGGAGCGGAACGTGGCCTTCTTCAGAGAGGTGAGAGCGCATGAGGGAACACTAACCGTCAGGCATTGTTAGCGCCCCCTGTTGACAATGTTTGTAGTCTCATTTAAAACTCTGGTGATCTTTAAAAGTCTGTATCTGGACCAGGTTTATTCAATCCAGTTTGGTCACAAGAAACATAGATCAGGTGATCCTGGATAGCCAAGAATCAGAGTACAAAAATCTGGCTCATTCTGGTCCAGATTAAAGTTCCTGAACAAGCGGACCCAGAGGTTTTGCTGTCAGCAGGTGGCCAATTCAAGTCCTGAGGTTCCAGTCTCAAGCCAGGAACATTTGGATCCTGTAATCCTGTTAACCTGCTGCAGCCTCAGAGTCTGTTCATGTCTCTGTGTCCTGATCAACATCAGATTAAGACGTTAACAAGGCGTTAAACTGTGGACTGAGACTTTTTATGCTTCTATATTACTTAGAATGTTCCTCTAATGTCCCGCTTCTGTCTGAAGGTGGTGCTGCGTACGGCTCGGCTCGTGGCTCAGTGGCAGTGTGTCGGCTTCTGTCATGGAGTCCTGAACACGGACAACATGAGCATCCTGGGACTCACTCTGGACTACGGTCCTTATGGCTTCATGGACAGGTCAGACTCCAGAGGTCTCAGGGGCAGGATATGATGTGAAAAGGATGATGTGGGTCTGAGTCAGAGTCATATCATTTGGTGCCTGCGGCCTGGTGGGTAGGCACACCCCTTGTGTGAAAGCTGGGGTCCTTGGGAGTGGGCGGCCCCAGGTTCAGGTCCGGCTTGTGGTTCCTTTCCTGCATGTTATTGCATGCAGGAAAGGGTCATTGCATTTAAAGAGGCACACACACCAAAACGGAGCGTTCTGAGAGAGCTGGTTTATACAGGGTCACAAACCTCCTCTGGTGCTTGATTCATGTTATATTTTGACCAAATCACAGATGTTTCATTTAGACCACAGGGGACTGTTTGAAAAGGGGGATAATATGTTCTCTTTAAAGATAGATGTGATTGGCGAGCAAAAAGAGAATAAAGCAGCTTCACTATATGAACAGAGATCGCACTGGCTGATCGGTCACTTGACGTAAATGCCATCATCCCGCCAAATCGCTCGGTGTGAATTCTGCTGAATATTTCCTATATTTACAATTAATATTTAATTTTCCTAGGAGGAGAGCAGGGATAGAAAAAAATGTTTTAGAAATAAATGATGAATCAATCGTTTTCACATATACAGTTTTGTGTTTGTGTTAATGCAGCATTTATAAGAAAGACTAAGCCGTGTGTCAGCATGCCCGCACGGCTTCTGTCTTTATCATCCACAGATATTAGACAGGATATATTCAGACTGCCTGCTCAAAGCACAATATTTACGCCCCTGTATGTCTGTCCTTCACTATGAATGTCACAGAGGCGTTATGAAGGGACGTTAGTGATAGTGGTGTATTTAACCTTTCTCTCTGCTCTCAGGTTTGATCCAGACTTCATCTGTAACGCCTCCGATAACTCGGGTCGATACTCGTACCAGGCCCAGCCGGCCGTCTGCAGGTGGAACCTGGTGAAGCTGGCGGAGGCTCTGGCTCCGGAGCTGCCGCCTGACCGGGCTGAGACCGTGATCGACGAGTACCTGGATCTTTATAACGGGTTCTACCTGCAGAACATGAGAAAGAAGCTGGGTCTGCTGAAGAAGGACGAGCCTGAGGACGAGATCCTGATCACAGAGCTGCTGCAGACCATGCATAACACAGGTGAGGATCAGTTTGATGCTGTCTCCACACATGCACAAATATCAGGAAAAGTTCCCCACATTTTCAGGGTGAGCTTCATGTGTCTGACTTGTAGTTACTTCAGCCTGAAGTTAGGGTGAGCTGATGTAATTCAAGGCCAGCGAGTCTGAGGGGGTGAGAACATGACCAGCGCACGGTCTGTGTGTTCCTTCCAGTCCGACAGGAAAAACTTTGGCGAGACTTGTGTGAACAGGAAGTAGCTCAGCTCTCAGCAGCAGAGAGAATCACTCCCATGACGTCATCTTTTGTTATTGTTTTGATTGAGAGCCCCCTGGTGGTGGGATTGACATTCTGTGCATTTATCCAAACAAACAGCTCTATTAAATCAAAACAGAAAGACGTTAATGAGGTGCCTAATTTGTGATGGCGCTTTGCAAATTTTGGGGCTTTTTACCTTGAAGTTCAAATATTTAAAAACAAAACTAGTGACTTTAAAACGGTTGTAAGAAGCTGTTTCCCTCGTTAAACCTTTCTACTGAAATACTGTGATGATGTCAGACTATCAAAATGTTCTTATGATCTTAATGAACTCGAGCACGTATCACCACCTTTGCTCCCGTGATCAGTTCATGCCAACATAACAGATTGTTCTCAGGGTCACACTCGGTTTCTTAATATGTGAGAGAGACATCCCAAATGACGTCAACCACACAAGAGTTCTCTAACAAGGTGGGGTCTTTGGCAACTTCTGACTTAAAGACTCAGCTTTTTTAAATTGCCCACATGTTGGTGAAGACCTCATCACACAGCTCTGTTTCCAAACACTGGGAGGGGTTTAGGAGGACGGGCGCTCGGGGGCATTGAGTGAACAGTGAGTGGAATTTAACAATTTGCTGCACAGAGAACATGAAATCAGAATCATCAGCAGTGTTGCATTGCATGCCCTTATTGTAACCTGTTCTGCCCCCCTCCTGCAGGCGCTGACTTCACCAACACCTTCCGCAGCCTGAGTCAGATCTCCTGCCCCGCAGAGGGAGACGCTGAGGTAGAGGAGGGCGTGGTGAAGAACGCGTCAGAGCTCCTGCTGCAGCAGTGCGCCTCCTTAGAGGAGCTCAAGGCTGCAAACAAACCCAGCATGGATCCAAGGTGAGAGAACAGAGCGTGCAGCACAAACACAAAGGGCTTTCACACATGCAGAAATCTCCTGATAAACTCCTGATATTTCCAGGAGGAGCTGCATGTGTGAAGTCAAACAGTCATATTTTTCACTCAAACTTCACCCGGAGTTTCTACTGCCGGCGGACCCCCTAGTATTTTTTCTGCAGCAAGTCCGAGTGAGCTGATCTTAAAACGCCGCCGGATATAATAAGGAGAATTCACTTCGAGCCAATGGGAGGGGGGAGTGACGTTTCTATACTGTGACTGCTGCATGTATAGAGTGTCTGCACACGACCGCTATGATCTCACAGTAAAAAAAATAAATAAATAAAAGTCCAATTTATGATTTCTATTTCCCAGAGAGCTGGCCATGCTCCTCTCGATGGCTCAGAGCAACCCGGCACTGTTCCAGATGATCTCGGACCGGGCGACAATAGCGAGGCAGTTAGACAAACTGAGCAAACTGAAAGACCTGATGGAGACGAACCAGGAGGAGCTGAGCGGCAAACACGGGGAGGAGTGGAGACGCTGGATAACACGATACAGGTGAGATCTGTCCGGAGAGCTGACATGTTGCATTGTTCTTACTTCACTTTTATGTTATGCATTAATCTTGGCATTTATTTTGCAGCCTCCTTTGTTTGTTGTCGTTGTTTTGAGCTTTCATCAATTTAAAAATTGCAGCTCGATTCTCCCAATGTCGTTTTAGATTTGTTGGCCACCATGGATTTAGGGAGAAGATTTAGTGTGTGAGAAAAAGAAAGAATGAGGGATGAACCCAGCTGGTGTCTGAAACAAGAGGAGGGTGGAGGAACTGCATGATATTTAGGGTCGGAGTGTGGAGTGTGTGCGAGGAGGTACTGTGCGTGTTGAATCTGAATCTGTGTTTGTTTGTTTTTGTCCTTCCTGCAGGAAGCGTCTCGGCCGGGAGCTGGAGGGTCAGAGTGACGTGCAGGCGGTGCAGGAGGAGAGGGTGACGGTGATGGACAGCACCAACCCTCGGGTGGTGCTCAGGAACTACATTGCCCAGAATGCAATTGAGGCTGCAGAGAGCGGAGACTTCTCTGAGGTGATGCCCTTTTTGAACTTTGCACTCTAGTCCCTCTCATTTCACTTCCAGTCAGATGTGGGGGCGGGGGGAGATAGCTCTCTACAATGCTTTGAATTTGGACTGCAGTACCCATTTAAAACACTAGGTGTCAGAATTACATATTGCTCCTTTAAATTCTGGTATTGTGAGGACCCTACTTCTTACATATGAATTCTCTGTTGCCATCAGGAGGTTATTAAATGCCGTTTATATTTTAGAGATTTTTATTTTATCCTTTGATTGGACTCATCCTCAAATGTTTTCCCATATTTGAGCTCTTATGTATCATTGCTGTCTGAATGTTGCTGTGTCTTTCATGTTCTCAGTGTTGAGCTGCCACACTAATCCCGACCTCACAGGATTAATGAAGCTCTTTGAATTGTTCTGTCTTCCTCTCTGCAGGTCCAGCGGGTCCTCAAAGTCCTGGAGAAACCTTTCTCTACACAGCCGGGTCTGGAGCTCCCCTCATGGTCGGGCGGAGGCGGGGCGAGCGAGCAGGGAGAGAGGGACGAGGGAGAGGAGGCACAGCAGGAGGCGGCGTCTTCATCATCCGCCCCCAGAGACCCCGTCCCCTACGACAGCAAACCCCCCACCTGGGCCAATCAGATCTGTGTTACATGATCTTCGTAATAACTTCTCTGAATGTCTCCTGCCTAAATGAAGAGAGTTTATTGTTCTTTCAGTTCATATTTTTGTAACTTTCTACGTCACTGAACAGCTCTCGATCACGCAGGCAGGCGGCGTCAGGGAGGTTAACGAGAGGCACGACACCACGGGCGCTAACAAGCTGAAACAAACACGCAGGGAGGGAGCTGAGTTTGGTTAAACAAATACATCTAAAATGTGTTTTTAAACTTTAATCATTTATGAAACAATGCCACAAAATAGCGAAAAATAAGTGTTTTTTTTTTCTTTCTGTGATGTCACATCCTGCACACACGATGATGCAGAATCACCAGACAACTTGATTATATGACTTGACATTAGAAAAAGGCCCCTCAGCTTGTTCTCTGTTTGTTTGATGTTCCGCTTTTCATGACGACTCAGACAAAAAGTCCTACAGCGACCTGTCTGACTCTGATACACAGCCGGGTGTCACCTCGACATATACCAAATAATACAGTGTGTGTGTGTGTGTGTGTGTGAGAGAGAGAGATATGCCGCAGTATATTAACACGCACAGTTCACTCCTCTATAACAGAAACTTGCCTTTAGCCGCTGTTACAGCTTTTTAGTCACAGGGTCACAAAAAGAGCTTTACAATGTTTTAATGCATAACTAATTAGCAGGTGTCAAAAATAAAAAAACAGCAGATTGTGAGAAGAGAACAGTAAGAACGGTGTGTGTGTGTTTAGAGAAGTTTATCGTAGCTTGTGCCACAGATGTAATGCTGCAAAGCTTCATGTTTTAGAGAAAGTGGAAATAAAGAGATTGAATGCCATTAAAGGATTTGTTTCAGTGCTTTTTATTTTTTTGCATCATTTGAAACAAAAGCTGCTCTCTATCTACAGATTCTGAAAAGGCTAAGATGTCATCGCTGCCGGTTCAGAGAACATCAGATGTTGGGAGCGCATTTAAACCAAGCGGCAACCTCCAGTGTTGACTGATTTGATTTGTTTATTCTGAACATGTAACATAAGACAAAGGTGAACATAAAAAAAAACCCAGAAAAATATCGAACAGTGGAAAGTATAAAAAAAAAAAAAAATGTGGATGCTATGCTTTTCTGAGTCATTTATAGGGACAGTTCCCAATGCACTCACATTCAGTTCTCTTTGACCCCTTTCCCACTGAGGCCACCGATCTTAAAGGGTGTGCTGCATGCTGTGCAGGTAAACGGCTATCCAGCTGTATGAATCCCGTTGTGACGATTCAAGTTTGATATGCGTAGGAATCTTTTCCCACAGGTGCTGCAGGAGAACGGCCTCTCACCCGTGTGTGTTCTCATGTGGCTTGTCAACTCGCCTTGAGATCTTAAAAGTTTGCCGCATGTTGAGCAGGTAAACCACTTTTGGTTCGAATGAATTTGGATGTGCCTGGTCAACGTAGACTGCTGATAGAAGCTTTTCCCACAGGTGCTGCAGGAGAACGGCCTCTCACCTGTGTGTGTTCTCATGTGGATTGTCAACTCGCCTTGAGATCTTAAAAGTTTGCCGCATGTTGAGCAGGTAAACCGCTTTACGTTCGAATGAATTTTGATGTGTCTGTTCAACTTAGACCTCTGATAGAATATTTTCCCACAGGTGCTGCAGGAGTAAGTGTCCTCACCTGTGTGTGTTCTCATGTGGACTTTCAAGTCACTTTCAGATCTGCAAGATCTGCCACATGATTTGCAAACAAACAGCTTCTCACCTGTGTGTGTACTCATCTCAGAATCTTTTCCACATGTTGAGAATGAAAATCGCCTTTTTGATTTTCTTCTTGAGCCTGAGTCTTTGTGCTTAAAGTCAGTTTCTGATGTTTTAGTGTTCTTACTTCTTTTGGGAAGTTTTTTCTTTGGTTCTGATTTTCGAGTTGATTCTGAGTCTTGGAGCTCACTTCCTTCTGGATCTTGATCTTCAGCATCATGAGAGCTGTTAGAAATGGGCTGATGTTCATTTAGTAGTTGTGCTTCACTGTGGTCTCTCTCCTCATGAGTAAGAGTCAACATGGATGTGTCAGTCTCCTTCAGTACGAGCTGCTCTCCCTCCTGACTGCTGCAGTGTTCCTCCTGCTCCTCTTCAATCTGTGGAGGCTCTGGCTCCTCTTGGTCTGGACTGGAGTTCCTCTCCTGATTACAGAGCTGCTGGTTGACCAGAACCTCCTCCTCTCCTTACACACATGTTGCTGTGGAACATCTGGAGGAACACAAACAAAATACAGTAAAATGAAGAATGCAGAGTATGTTGAGGCGTTATATCTCAGTAGTTTTTTTTTTAATTCTTGATCCCCGTCATTCTCAATGATTACATCACCACTGTTAACCAATACAAACCCAACTTCACTTTGCATTAGTTTAGCATAGTTTGCTTTTTCCTCACCTATTCTGTTTAGGTAGATGTGAGGTTTCCAAACGATATCCAGCAGTCTGCTCTTCCAATCGATCCCTCCCTCGTACTCAACGTTAGTATTTTTTGAAACTACAAATTTGTCTTCAGCAGAAGTTAGTCCCTTGTTGATGTGCTCACTTCCTGTGGGATCTTGATCTTCAGCATCATGAGAGCTGTTAGAAATGGGCTGATGTTCATTTAGTAGTTGTACTTCACTGTGGTCTCTCTCCTCATGAGTAAGAGTCAACATGGATGTGTCAGTCTCCTTCAGTACGAGCTGCTCTCCCTCCTGACTGCTGCAGTGTTCCTCCTGCTCCTCTTCAATCTGTGGAGGCTCTGGCTCATCTTGGTCTGGACTGGAGTTCCTCTCCTGATTACAGAGCTGCTGGTCGACCAGAACCTCCTCCTCCTTACAGACATGTTGCTGTGGAACATCTGGAGGAACATGAAACAAAAACATTTAGTGTTGTACACCTTACCGGTGTTACAATCTAAGTGAGTGACATGCCCGATGCACACCCGATGATGATTTTTCAGTTATATTTATGGTCTTGGTCTTGACTTGGTCTCGACCCCTTAATGTCTTGATCTTGGTTCGGTCTCAGAGCACTCTGGTCTCGGGTATGTCTTGGTCTTCACTACAACCCTATACCCAGGTGTCCCACAACGACAAAGGGAATGACAGCTTAAAGGTTTTATTTTTTAGAGGAGGGGCTGATAAATCAGAAACGTCAGATAAACTGACACAGGCAATAATCCAAAACACAAACTAAATATTTTAGGCCTGTGTTCGCGTTAACACTTCTCAGCCACCGTAGTCTGGTAAGAAGAGCAGAGGTTGAGAAATTAAAACCGATGATTATGTTGAGTATGGCCCAATGTCGATGTCCACCCTCACACACTCACTGACGCGTTCTCTGTAAGTCTGCGTGGGCTTAGTGCTGTCCCATTGTCAAATCATCAAGTGTGTGAGGGATCTCTCGCTGACTTTGCGAGCCCTTTATGCACCTTGTCCTTAAATGGGCATATCTGCAGACTTAGTGTGAGGGAATTACCCATAGTTCATAGCATTGTGACGTGAAACACATGATTTCCCAGGGAAGCCCAAAACAATTGAAAGGTAAACAAAAGGTAGAGACGGTAAAAAAACAGGAAGATGAAATCACGCTCTATTTACAGTCTACTAAAAAAGTTTATTTGGAAACTACATTTAATTCAGAACTCCTTTGCAAGTCTATCAGCAAAAACAAGAGAGACACAGAGCATATTAGTCCCGTTATATTTAGATAAGATAAACCTTCATTTATCCCACTACGAATACATTTATATATAGGCCTATATTGAGCAGAACTTTTTATAAGCGCCATGGCTGTGAGTGAGTAAAGTGAAAAATGTAAAATAAGCTTTTGCCACATAAAATCATGTAGTCATGGTTACAGAGAAGTTGCAAAGTGCTGTCCCATTTGTATTTAACCATTGGAGCCCTCGCAGCCTCATGTACTCAATCACTTTCCAGGTGACGTCATTTAAGTCAGTAAGGGCTCAGGGTTTAGGGAGGACATCGAGATTGAGCCTGTGTTTTTTAAACATGATCAGGGCTCGACATTACAACTGGTCCGCAGGCCCGGATAACTGATTGATAGAGTCTGGGCTGCATCCGAATTGCCAAGTACCTACTCAATCTGTCAGTAGACAGTACCTACTATCCGTGCTGTATACTGTTTAGTACCTACTATTCAGTAGGCGCGCACAGTAGGCAGATATTTGTTCCTACTTCTTCTGATTCATTCAGTATGGAAGTGACGTCATTTACGTTTCCCGAACCGGCCGCATTCACCTGTTTTTGTTTTTTTTAGCTTTATTCAAGAAGAGTAATGCTCATAAACAGTCAGGTAAACAAAAAACAACATCACAATGTAAATCAAGTAAAAGGCAGATTAAATAACTAAATAACATATAAACATATAAAATCATTATTTAAATAGAGGGGGAAAGGTTTTATAATAATGCAGACATTTGTTTTATTTTCTGTTGTTAATTTAAAGTAGTGATTTCAGTCGGGACTCTAGATTAAAAATTGATTCAATTAATCCACGCTCGTTTGTTTTGATTTGGAGAAGTGACGTGAAGTGACGATTTACGTTTAATTTCGCACAGAATTGTGGGTGTTAAAATACAATTAATTTCCTGAAAGCACGCATCTGATCCATACTGCATGACCACGAGAGATCAGTATACTGAAACTCTCTACTGAAAAGTACATACTGCCTACAGAACGGCCCCGGGGCCAGCTGGTTGCACGTTCAAATACTGCCTGAAAAAAAAAAAAACAGTAACACGTTTTCAATTTCACAGCGCTTTCCTGTCATACCCGTGTTTTGTCAGCAATGTTTTTAAACTTCGCGCTAATAAGTGCTACACGCGCTACAGCATCAACGCGCATGCGTGTCACACTGCTGTTCCTCTTGCGAGCGCGCTCGCTACTGTCGTATTGTTCACTAGTGATGGGAAAAGCAGTTCTTTTCAGTATACTGAGTCAGTGGAATCAGTTCAGTAAAGTGATTCGTTCATTCTGCAGCTCTGTCTGTGAATCAGAATTTAATAATCTGAAACACGGCCGAACATTTAGTTCTGCACACGCACACACACACACACACACACACACACACACACACGATCGTTAGTAGATGTTAAAACAGTCAGCTGAGTGAAATTAAGTTGGATATAAAAGCCGTTTGTAAACTGACAGCAGATATAAAAAGCACAAACATTTTCACCTAAATGTTAAATAATATATTTTCTACTTCCTCAATTTTGGAGACATGAGAGGGAGAAGTAGGGGCGGGCTTTAGAGACACAGAGCTCCCGACCGACTCCGTCCTGTTGGTTCAGTCAGTACGTATCACTGACATGAAGAGAGGGAGGGCGGGCTTTGAGCGACTCTTACGGTCTGGAGAGAGAGAGACGAGACGGGAGAGAGGAGAGCGCAACTAAAGTTGAGAAATGAACGACTCTTTTCAGTAAGTGATTCAGTTCAGTTCACCCAGATGATTCGTTCGTTTTGAACGAATCGTTCATGACCGACACATCACTATTGTTCACTCTCTCACAGATTTCAGCTCAGGTTTTCTCTGATAAAAACACGTTTGGTAAAACGGTTTTAGAACCATCAGATCCCAATAAAAGCCGAGCTTAAATCATCATTCAAAGGGGAAAAAAAAATCACCGAAGAGTCACAAGAGATACACTGCAGCTACATTTATTTGTTAATAACTTTTATCTTTACCATGATCTTTAACTTTAATGTAACCCCTGACATATATATTCACATTTTGTGTCATTAGTCAGTTCCTCACCTGTTCTGTGAAAGTTGATTTGAGGTTTCAAATCTATATCCAGCAGTCTGCGCTGACGATCGATTTCTTCCTCGTACTCGACGATAGTTCTTTTAAAAACTACAAAAATGTCTTCCGCAGCAGCCGTTAGTCGCTCGACGACAAACTCTCTCAGACTCTCAGCTGAACACATTGTTGTTGTTTTATTAAACTATAAGATAGAATAACAGACAAATCTGAGAGGAGACGAGCTGATGCCCGCTTTGTTTAGGCTACTGGCCGCTGTGTGTCACACTATAAAGTACCGACAGTGGAGGTGCGGCAACCTTTCGGGTCCGCTTTCAATTATTCCTCTTCTTTTTATATTATGTGTTTTTTTGTTTTTTTTAAGCAATAATTTATCAACAACCGATATTTTTCCTTAATTAAATTTATTGCCAGTAGCCTACTTATTTTTAAGGTAGCGTGAAAGAGAACGTATACCAAAACTACAGAAAGAATTGTATACACAGATAAAATACATGCCCCTCTTTCTGTTCTTTAAACGCCCTATGATCTTCGTTTGTAACACAAGCAACAAGGAAGGTGATTTCGTAATCATCTCCATCGTATCCCCATATCTCTTCCTGATAGTGGCTCAGCTTTTGGCAGACCATATTAAATCTAGTGCTGTTAAAGGTATATCTCTCTTATTGGAAGATAATTAATCATACACTCAGCTGGTGGATGACAACACTCTGTTTTTACAAAATGAAAATCTAATTTCTGTAGCCATTGAAGCAATTGGGGAGTTCTCAAAGGCCTCTGGTCTGTGCTTGAATATGAACAAATGTGAACTAATGGCTATTAAAGAATGCTCTGAGTCTGAACTTTATAACATTCCACTGAAAAAGGAGGTGCAATATTTAGGGGGAGAGAAAGGCAACATTCTGGCAGCCTGGAGAGGGCGAATGAGCTAAACCTGTTCTTCAACCAGTCGTGTCTATTCAGAGCCCTCCTTTAAATCCAAATAGAATCCCAAAATTCCTTTATCAACTTTTTCTTTTTGACCATTTTCTGATTAAGTCATTCAAACAATACCGCGTCTTATCTCATTACTAAATATATAATGTCACCATACATTATAATTGCATTATCCTGATCACAATGATCATATTCTTTATCTGTTTCATCTATACATTATTGTTTACCCTTTTCATATTAAATTTTACACATAGAATTCAGGACTTTGTCTGTGTGTTTTCTTGTTTAACATTTCCAGAACTTACTTCTTTCAAGATATGAAACTGACTGATTAATTAATTAACTTATACCATTAAAGTTATTTTCTTCCTTTAACAGGAAGTGGTGCCCCCTTCTTTTAATCCAAGGTTAAATAAAGATATAACATCTTAATAATTTAATTACGCTACAAATCTGTTCTGCACATGTTAAATTTACAAATTATCCCTGCACTCAAGTTCATTTCATTTGTCTGTCTACTCGCCGTTATATTGAATAGTCTCTGCTGATAACATGTCTACACTCACGCACTTTAACTTATGTATCACTGATTGCACATCTCCCTATGTCAATACTGTCTATTTACAACTCTGTTTTTTGCACATGTACATTTAATCTTTCATATTTAAGACTAGTAATGCTAAGTTAAATCCTGGTTGTATATATTCCCATTCTTAGTTTTGATATTTTTATTGCTTATTTACGTTGTATTTAATATTATATTGTGTTTAGATTTGCTAACATTGTGTTGTTTACTCATATTGTGTGTTGGATAACCTGCTGCTATAATGCCACAATTTCCCAGTTTGGGATCAATAAAGTCATTCTATTCTATTCTAATCTATTCTATCAACTGTTCAACAGGGTGGGTCTTCTTTTTACTTATGAAGAGTTTCTCTCAGAATATAATATCCCTGTAACACCTGGGGATTATGCCAAAGTGTTTGGGGCCATACCCTCTGGAGTCTGTACGATTTTTCAATTTCAACTGAGGATTGATGGCCGACAGTTACCTCTGATATCTCCAGCAAGAACAGCAATAGGGAAAATATTTTTCTCTAGTTCTCTTTGTAATAACAACAGGTCTATAAGGACAATGTTCCAGAAAAATGTAACAACATTACCATATGCAATTTCCTATTGGAATAGATTTGTGGATGATGTGGCATGGAAAAGGGTCTGGCTGATACCTAATCGATATTTGATCACTAATAAAATTAAGGAAATATCTTTTAAACTCATACATAAATTTTACCCTGCTAAAGATTATATCAAAAACAGATTTAAGTTAAATATAGGCCTAGATGTAAACTATAACTTTTGTAATGAACTTCCTGAAACTGTTGTACATTTATTTTGGCATTGCCCAACTGTAAAGACGTTTTGGCAACATTTGTCTGACTTCATTAATGAGAAAATCAGTAAAGATTTTGTTTTATTTTGGAAGAATTTATTGTTTGGTCTCTGGGAAAGCAGTACACAGAAAACCACTTGTGTGTACTTGATAAATCTTTTGACTATAATGGCCAAATTTCACATACATAAATCTAAACACACAGGTAAAAAACCATGCTTCATTGCATTCTATAATGAGTTCAAACAATACATGCATTCAATTAAATACTCTGAAAAACAGAAAGCAATTAAAACTGTAACAGCTTGTAGTATGTTTAATATTTTATAGAATCTTTAACTTTGAACCCCACTCCCCCTAGCGTAAACTGTTCTTTTTTTCTTCTTAAAACAAATGTATACACAGATGAATTTTAAACGCAATATTGTCTGAATAAAGTTTATTTAAAAAAAAAACACGGTTAACCCATAGACTGTAATAGACTGTAATTATTGGGGTAACCTTGCATTGCTTTCACGTGATCCTTGGATTTCTCGGAGTAGGAAAAATACGGACGCAACAACAGCTCATAATGTTGTATGTTATTGTTCAGAACTAAGCTGGTTGACTATTATAATCGTTTTCGATGGTAAAGGGGACACATAAGCCCCCCCAAAAATGGCTGCTAGTATAGAGTTCTTCATATTCCAATTATTTCAACATCACTACAAATGCATCTCCAGCCGTAGCAACCGAGGCAGTCGGTCTATGTACCCTATCAACCATGGAGGCTCAGCTTTCGTTGATGGATGAAAACGACGAAGAAAACACCAAAGAACAAGAAGAGCTCCTCTTCGACAGAGTCCAAGAACTAAAGTAATGAAAACAAATAATCCAGAACAACAGTATGTAGACCGAATAGTTTTTACTCTTAAGTTAGACTTCTTAAGGATAACTTTTCTAGGCTTCATACTGGACAACCTGCTAGCGTTAGCCTCGAAGAGCTAGCTCTAATCACAAGGAACTGTTGTTATAGCTTATTATTAGCTTATTTAATATACTGCTGCTACACCGTACAGTAATAGGCTATGTACAGTCTATGTGCTACACCGACTGAAGGTCTTTGTCAGAAACGTCATCGTTTAGTTGGTGACGTCACGTATATATAGGTATAGGTTGTACGAAAGAGGACAGACATGAGAAATAAATAATGAGAAGTTAGTTATACACTTCGAGAAAAAAGTCAATACGCTGAGAAAATATGTCAAGAAGTAGTAAAAAGACAAGAAAAAGTCGAAATACAATTTCCATAATAAAATCGAAATATCAGAAAAAAAATCGAAAGTTAAAATGTCGAGAATAAAGATAAAACACACTCTCCATAATAAAGGCATAATGTCGAGAATACAATTTGAGAAAAGAAAAATCAAATGTTGAGAAAAAAAAGTGAAATACAATTTCGATAGTATGGGTGAAAAATTGACGGAAAATGTTGAGATTTTGGAAGTAAAGTTTAAATAGGCTACAATTCCCCCCCTGAAAAGTGGAGCAGGCAAAAGACGGATTGGGGGATTTGTAAACGGACTAGAGACACATATTAGTGTCAGAGAAGACATGATGAAGTGGATTTTACAGAATATTTGACCTTGAAACTTCAGTTTCTAGAAAACACCCAAACATTTATAAAAAACAATTGTCTTTGTGACTCGTGAGGGTTTGTGATGTCCATTTTCACCCTAGACGTTCCAATGCTGTCCTCCAGGTAGAGATAGACCTGTTTGAACGCTTTATCAGCCGCATTGATCCTCATGACCTCCTGTCCCAGGCGGGGGGAGACAGTCCAGGAGGGTCGCAGCTGGAGGGAGGGGTAAGTCATACTCAGAGTCAAGACGTCTTACTAATATAGATGGAACATTTTATTTACTCAATATTCCAGTGATAATGAGTAATAATTACCGGCTGTTTTCTTAGGATCTCTGCTTATTTTTATTTTATCTGGAGATTAAAAAAGCTTGTTTTTCCGTCGTAATGATATCATTTTCTGGCGATCTTGAAGCAAAACAATAGACTGCTGACCACGACACTGCCCACACTAATGAGGTACGTTAAGACCATTTCTATATTTGTTTTATGCTTCTGAACTCTGGGGATACGAGATGAATAAGTGGAGATCTCGAGAAAACTACCGGGAAATCTGAACAAATAAAATATATGGATGTATGTCCGCTAATGGCTCTCATACCTTTCCATTGACTGATATAATTATGTTCCTACCACATGGTACTGTACTCCTTTTAGCCCTGCGTCGTTCTGATTTTTTTTATTTCAGGAAAAAACATAAAAACACCCAAGTAAAGAAAGACAATAAAACAGTAGGTGTGTGGGAGTGTTAGAAAGCTGTAAATGAAAAGCACATCCAGAAAAATGTAAACGAATCTACAAAAAAATCTTTATTTCAGAGTTTGTATGAGAAAGTACAAATCTCATCCAGTGGAAAGAAGTCAGAGAATTTCTGTTATTTCAATTCAAGGCCATTCACAAGCTGCTCCCTGCCCGCACCGCCTTACTCCTCATACACCTGGTACACTAACAATCACACGTGTTTATCAGGGTCGTGGGCAGAGGCGCAGGTCACGCTCCCACGTTTCAGATCGCCTCCAACAGCTGACTTTGGAACAAAAACTCTATGTGGCACAGAGAGAGTGAGAGAGATGCAACAAGACCAAGACAAACTCAAACAGAGATGTGAGAGGATTCAGGACAACTTCAAGGTAACCACACAGAACATGCACATCGAAAACAAAGAGAGAACACACCCATTTTGACGGTACTTTTTGTCCTTCCAGGCCTCCTTACAAGAGGCAGAAATGAGTCTTTCAGAAATCAGGAAGGCTCAGCACGAGTTTGAACGCAGACTGCTGAAACCTCTTAAAGACAACAGGCTGGACATGAAGGAGCCTGAGAAGGTGCTGCAGTGCATCACAGATAAGTCAAAGGTGAAAATAAGTTCAGCTGACGACGACATCTGAAAAGTGAAAAATAGAATTATTATGAATTAGTCATGACATTGACCCAAGCAAGCAGCAACAGAGATGTATAGTTCACTGTTCAACAGGACAAATTATTTATGCAGAAATATACAGGAAGTAAAACAAATTCACTTTTTAAGAAAAGATTTATAATTTAGAGAGGCGATTAAACTGACCTATGAAATCAAAGGAATCAGAAGTGCAAACGCTCCCCTCTTTAACTAAGAAGAACAGCAGAAAACAAGGCCAAATAAATCAGCGATTCGCCCCTCCACGTCCCAAACTGGATGAGCAGTAGACATTATAGATGGAAATTCATTTTGCACAACTTTTAAATTCATTCAAATAATAACCTGAAATATTGAAATGTGTTTTTTAGATATACTTAATTTTTCACATGATTGTAGATTTGCTGCTTAAACCTTTCAATCTTTAGCCGTCATCTCCACAAAATGAAGACACCTGAGTCTAGCCTGCAGGGGTGTGTCCAGACTTTTTTTTACTGGGGTGGCCCATCTGGGGCATTGACTCGTGCAGGGGTGCACACGCACGCGAATGAATATAAGCATTTGACCCTTTCCATCTCCATTCATATTTACTTGTAAGTAACACATTTTGGCAAAACATATAAATCTTCTTAGCCCGACTCTTGAGGGACTCAACAACAAAGATGTCTGTGCAAAGTCACAATATTAGGTCCTTAGAAAACTGCATGCAAACTCTTCTGTGCTGTCTAACTTGCAAAAATACATTTATTGGCAAATAAGTCCATCGCAAGTTTGACAGTGTGAAAGTGTTTTTCCTTTGGACATTTTTATGGAAAAAGCAAAGTATTTATTTATAACTGACTGTACTTCCATTAGCCTGTTGAGCAGTCAGAATAGTTGACTTGTATTTAAGTCCTGCCTCTAATTAGGGCAAAAGGCCAATCAAAGATTTGGATTTTGGTGTGGCACCTAGGGATTCAAGGGGGGCCCATGCCACCCCTGACCACCCCTCTGGACACGCCCCTGCCAACCTGCTGTTGGTTCTTGATTCTGCAGCATCCTCGCTGCACTCTGATACTAACATGCGTTCATGGTCGTCACATGTTTTATTTGTTCCTCTGTTGTTTTTTTTCACCACTCAATCCTTCATACTGCACAAAGAGTCCAGTTTGTACATAAAAGAGCATGATTCACTTTTAGTCAACTTGTTATCTTCCTCTTTCAGTTCATCTGCAACCCCTCCACAGATTGGTCACCTTCCTCCCTCTGCTCACATTGTCATCTGTTCTTTTCTCAAACATGTGAAAGGTCTCACAGTTGGAGAAGTTTCTTGTGAAGAACCAGGCCCTGAAGGTCCATGAGAAGAAGCTCCAGCAGCAGCTTCTTCAGAGAAGAGAAGCAGGAAAAGCTGAGTACGAGGTAGAAAGTTAAAGCTTGACTTCGTATATTCAGATAGGGTGTTCAAGCAAGAAAATCAGAGGGCTTTAAAGTTAGCCAGAGATCATATCAAATCACTCTGTGTGCTCTGCTTTTTATTCATAGCTGAACATAATCGCTCTGTGTGTTGTTTCAGGACGTCTTTCAGGAGTTTACTGAGCTGAGAATCAACAAAAACCTGGATGAACTTCAAGTCAACAATCTGAAAGTCCAACGTTTCCTCAGTTCACAGAAGGTAACTCATCCCTTTATGTGTTCAACCATGCTCTGCTATCATGCCAGCTGATCTAAAGCTGCATTCAGGTGCCCCTTGGAGGGTCCAAGTTTCTGAGTTGGGAAGTTGTTCCACGACTTCATTGTGTTCACGTAATTTTAGTTTGGAAAGCCGTAATGTTGTAACAACAACAACAAACATCGTTGATGCTACATAGAAGACGTGTGAATGTGTTACAAGTTATATTTCAGCATAAAGTTGATATGTAATACATTCATTAATAAAAAGAATCTTAACATTAAAAAAATGTTTTTTTCCGTTGTGTCCGACACCACATGAATGCAGCATAAGTGCAAGCCCCCAGCTGATTTGCTTCTAAGCATCCTATTGGCTAACTGCACCCATGCAGCCTTATTTACAGTTTTTTCCAATTGCTAACACACTAAAATGACATGCATAGCACAATTATTTAAACTGACACACAGAGAGCAAAACCTCTTCTCAAGTCTCCAAAAGTCTAAACACATTTTCTGCTTTACACACATTTTGCAATTTAAATGGGCACTTTTTAAATGCACTGAACATGGTTCTCTGCATAAGACACAACAATCTGACATAAAGTCACATGTTTGCCATTTCAAAACACTGCCATTCAAAATGACACTACAGGAGCTAATTGGCCAATGTATGTGACACCTGGCCAAACACCTCAATGGTTAATTGTTATCACTTCAATCAGGAAGTAAGCACTATGAAAAGACCACAAGTGAGCACCTTTTTTTTTTACAACAACAATGGAAGACATTGCAGAGAGAGGAAGAGGGAGGGTGAGAATGAGAGGGGGAGGAAGAGTGAGAGGTAGGGGTAGAGCTGGTAGAGGAATTCATGGCCAAAGAAGACAACAACTTTCAAATGAAATCAGAGCAACCTTAGTTGATCATGTCATCAACCACGGGCTGACAATGCGAGAGGCTGGATGTTTTACTGTACTGGTATATGTTGCACTGACTTGTTCGGTGAAAAATAAAAAGATAAATGTTTCAACAGCATGTGTGTGTATCTGCAAATATTTCTGTGCATGTGAACAATCTGAAGAATTTACTACAATTTGAACTATTTTAGTATTATGGCAAAGCATACTAAAGATGAGAGTGCTTATCATTATGCCCAACCGTGTGTAGTTGGTTAGACAAAAATCTGGTAATAGGAATGAAGTGTGTGCCATTTGGTGCAAAAGTTCGATTTTGATAATGCTATATGTAGTTTTGGTTGCAGTGCTTCATTTTGCAGGATATATGAGGTATTTTGCAGTTTGGGTGTGTGGTTTTGTGAATTGTGTTAAGTATTTTGATGAAACCAGCCTAGTTTGCAAAATTGTGTTTTAGCAATTGGAAAAAAACTGTAAGCTGCTCTGGCCTGCCTCCACTCCAGCTCCTGCTTTGCTGTGTCTGACTCTATGGTCTGAATTAACCAATGTCATGATGTTGTCATTGATGCTGGCTCTGTTTGGGGTTTTGCTGCTCTCTCTCTCTCCCTGTCTTAAGCTTTCCTTGTATGCACATGAAGAGCAGAAATGAGTGCTGTTCCTGCCGAATGCTTTCCACATACGCACGTGGAAGGGCAGGGAGATCCCAGAACAGAACATTTGCCCCCCGGGGACAAATAAAGTTTTTTGAATTGAATTGAATTGAATATTTATATTCATTCATATTTTCCTTGACAAATAAATAATTTATGATTTATTGATCCCGCGAGGGGAAATTCGGTTTTACACTCTGTTGTTGAACATGCTACACACACATAGGCCGAAATACACACACATGCACAAACAGGATCCTGTGGACATACATTAATGGAGAGGTCTCAGAGTGAGGGGGCTGCAAACAGCGAGCGCTCCAGAGCAGTTTTGGGGTTCGGTGCCTTGCTCAAGGGAACCTCGGCAGTGCCCAGGAAGTGGACTGGCACCTCTCCAGCTACCAGGCCAGTTTCTGGGCTTGGTCCGTGCTGGGAATTGAACCGGTGACCCTCCGGTTCCCAACCCAAGTCCTCACAGATTGAGATACTGCCCCCCAGTGGTGCTGACTGGAACAATATCCTCTCTGTTCTTTATTGTGGATGTATAAAAAACATCTTTACAGTTGAGGTAACAATCACTCTGACTTTAGTTGTGTGTGTGTGTGTGTATGTGTGTGTGTGTGTGTGTGTGTGTGTTTGTGTGTTGACAGGAGAAGCTGCAGAGTGTGACTAGGGAGTCCACGGAGCTGAGCAATGACATCACAAACAAGAAGCAGATACTGGGGAAAATCGAGGAGGAGATACAGCATGCTCAGGAGGTTTGTAAAAAGTAAAAAAAAAGACACTGTTCAACATAACGTAAACATTTACTGATCCGTTAGTTATCCATCAACCTGTCAGCTCTAGACTGATGAAGATGTCTGCCTCTCGGGATGATGGTAAATGTAATTCTGGTCTATCCATCGGTTAGTGATGAATGACTTTTAGCCAAGACTTCCCTTTCTGTGCGCTGCATTATTTACAGAAAGAAACAGATTTTCTGTTGGTTGACTTACATTCAAAGTTCCTAAATCCGCTGAAATAACATTTTAATGTAGATCTTGTCAAGCTGTATCGGGTCTGTCCTCAAGAGGAGAAGAAAAACACTTTTTAAAGGTTTGTTTTATGAACGGAGGTCATGCTGATTGCGTCGGATCATTCTAAGGCGGGAAATTTAAACACAACGTCTCAGCCAGATTTGTGGCTCAATCTAAATGTTTAATCTAGAACAGATTATTCAGATGTATTTAGATGCATCAATCTATCTTTAGAGATTAATAAATCTTCGTCAGATTATCGCTGATGGCAACCATAAACAGCTTGTGTTTACTTACCTTTGCTCTCCATACAGACGACAAAATCTGCTGATACCTGATTGGTCAATACTACTCGGACTACAAACGTACTACAAACTGAGCACTTCCTGTATTTAAACCCAGACCCCTTCCGACAGATGCCAAATATTCATGTAGAATCTTTCAATAGAGATTAGACTCTCTCTCCCCCTTTCTTTCTTTCTTTCTTTCTTTCTTTCTTTCTTTTAACCTAATGGATCTCCTGGTCCTTAAACAAATCCTGCTTTGCTTTCACCATCTCTTCTTCAGGAGCAGTTAAAGGCAGAGGCTCTCAACCAACACCTGCGTTGCCAAATGACAGATTATCAGGCTCCAGGAGTCCTGGAGTACATTCAGGTCAAGGACAAACACAAGAAGCTGCTGCAGAAAATTAACACGTGGGAGAGGAAGGTTCGCATCGCTGAGGTAAATGATATTTAGATTTTCTCACCCGAAATTCTCCAGAGGTCTCAGTGACCAGTTGAACCACATGACAAGAGTTTGAAGAGCAATATGTTTGGCTCCTTATATGACACCATGCCGTCCCTCAGTGCAGCTGCAGACACAAAACATAGAGCGAAAGAATCTCAAACAATGAGCGCTCTCTTTTCTGTTTTCTCCAGATGTCCTCGACGGCCCACAGTAAAGCCTGGAAAACACAGAGAACCACTCTCACTCCTGCAAACAGCGCTGTCGCTGGAGCCGGATCTGGGCAGCACCGACTCCCAGTGAAGCTGCCGCACATAGCAGAACACGTCAGCACATAAGAGACACACTGCTCTGTTCACTCATACTGTAACGTGTGCTCTGACCCCTCTGAGAATGTTTTATTAGGAGCCAAAATGTTGTAATGTGATCTCATTTTATCTCTGCATGAGACCCGATGTAGGGCAGTATGTTGCGAACATGTGTAATTCCAACACTGACCACCAGGTGGAGGCTTATTTAGGATAAAACCAAGGCTCTTGTACTTGTACTGGAGTTAGGTTAGAATTTATGTTTAATATTCAACATCGTTAGTATACATTTAAAGACTGTACGTCCTGATAACATGGACCTAAAAATGTAAAATTATCACTAACACCAAATTATATAAAATAGTTTAAATTATATTTATACATAAAGGAGCAATCTGTAACTCTGACCCCTAGTGTTTAAAATTGGTACTGCAGCCCAAATTCTAAACATTGTAGAGAGCTCTCTCCCCCCGCCCCCTCCTCTCTAGAGTCGATGCTCATGCAGGTTGCCATGTGGTGGACACTGAAGCTTCAGTGTTTATCCAGCTCTGCATCGGTCTGTAAACCTTTCTGTGTTCTAACCTCTCTCCATTTTTCAAAAGCATCTCCAATATTGATCCTAGTTTGAGCACGTTTCTGCTCGTGGAGCTTATTAGAAACATGCAGAGGCTTTTTAGGTCGGGTACAATCACTTCTATCTGAACCACTTCTCTTGCTGCTTCCATCACTGCAACACCTGTTGGTTTGACCTGATAACTGCTCTCATATCTGACAAACCGAGGGGCGTCCAAAACGGCTGTGTGGGGGGGCCTTAAAACCGCTTACCTTCTCTGGTCCAAACAAATCCAGAGCATTCAGGAGCAGAATCTAAAGTTAGAAGGAGGACATACTGGCTGCTGCATTGTTGTCAGAGAAGCCAGCACTTCAACACAGCATGTTTCCTTAAAGTCTGATCATATAGTAAGATACCTTTATCATTTCACTACACATCTCACTGATTGGGTTCTTTAAGTTATGCTTCTGTAGACCACAGGAGCAGTATTTGACTTGTTCTTCATTATCTTTAGTTATCCTGTAATCAGTGTAAAGATACTGTGGAAAGGACATTCTGCATCATGACAAAACTGTTTACAGTTCAGGACTTATTCCTCTATTGCAGTACTGAAACATTGTCATACTTCTTTCTGTTTAATAATGTGAAGTAGAAGTTCCTCGATTTGAAGGCAGACAGAAAAAACAATCCAACTGAGACTCTACAAACTATTTCCTTTATTAGAAAGAAATCCTCAGAGGTATAAACCCTCAAAATGTTATGATGTTACATGCCATATATACAGGTATATACATGAAAGTGCAATGTCACAATGGTTAATGTGTTTATTATTAATTCTCTCGTTACTGTTTGGAAAATGGAGTCATTACGTACTCATGTGTAACCGTCCTGCGCAGCGTTCTCTCAAACAGACATGAAAATTAAACAGGACGTCTCAAGCTCCTCTAAAACATTTTCAAAGGCACTTTCACGAGTACATACTACAGATGTACAGAACAACACAGAGTAAAGCCTACAGGGGGCGACACTGAGTCCTACTGGTGATGATGTTAGCAGAGTGACAGTAACACACTTTACTTTTTTTACAACTCGGCAGATTTTAGTCGACGCCTCTCGTTTGAAGTCATCGCCCAAACAAAACAAAAACAACAGAAAGGATTACAAAAATAAACAAAGTTAGTGAGTCAGAAATCATCTTCATCTTTTTGGATTATTACACACACAACATCTGTCAAGTCAAAGAGCGTGTAAACCTGCTGTCAGAGAGCTCTGCTTCTTCTTCACAGCACACCAGTCTGTGTTCGTATGCTCGCAGAACATTCCCAAAACATGCACCCACTTCACTGATATCTACAGCACAGATGTTATTCAAAAGGAGAAAGACAGGGGGCGCACTCACAGCTGGAACCTCTGCACAAAGGGGAGCAATAGCATTAAAAACAATCACATGACCTGCACACATTTGCGCTGACTGGTACAGGCTGTTCATCAATGATTGTTTGAGAATACCTCCAAACTAAGGTGGTCAAACTCCTGGACGCTTCTCGATACGTCTGGTTTTTAAAATGATTCAATCTCTGTGATCAACAGTATCGAAAATGACCAAACTACCTGCAGAGACAGAAAGAGAGAGAGCACTGTCTTAATTGCACAAATGTGTTGAGGACTTATTTGTGTAATTTAGACAATGTGCAGGAGTTCACCTGCAATCTTTTGGTGATGAAAAACAATAAATCTCTCGATGTTTGCCACCTAGGACTGATATTTCCAATGCTGTGGTATCAAATCAGGCACGGATGTAATTCAATCTTTACTATTATTTTATAGAAGTTTAAAATTCTTCATATCGCGACAACCCTTCTTGATACACGGGTGCACATCAAATCAGCAGACAAAGCCTCTGTGTCAGTCAGACGACGATGACACCTTCTTGAATGTTAAAAGAGGAAATGAGGACATAAAGAAGCACAGGAAGCAGCATGAATAAAACCTTTTACACTAACAGTCATCAGGTCCATGGCTACCTGCAGCACCTCTAGAGGGCGCTGCCACAGGGTCTGTACACATCAGTCAATATATGGAGGGTTTCACATCCATGCTTTAACTCACACACATCACGTCTTTGGGTTAGTTCGGCTGTAGCATGTGTTCCACAACGTACAATATAGCATATGTGCTGAATAAACTGCAGGTATGAGATGATTTGTCATCAGAACCAGTCACACTGTAGACCCCCGTCAGATCTGCAGATGCAAGGCAGGCGATATTATCAGGTATGTTTCCGCCCTACATCGAGACGCGTCGCTGCAGGAATCCAATAAAGTATGGAAGTGTTCAAACAGTTCATGGTGAAGTAGTGGTTTCATCCAATAGTCACATCTCATTCCAGGCATAATGGAAGGATCTCCAGCCGAGCACAGAGGTGATCTTTGTACATTTCCGGCAGGCTGTGTCACGAAAAAGTTGCAGTTTTACAAGCTAGTGAAAATATCAGTACTATTATCTCTCAACAAAGTACCGTTTAGAAACAGAAACCTTGTTCTGTCCAGGTAATCACAGCAACTTCATAATAAGAGTTCGACATGTTCAATCAGTTACATTTCAAAGTCAATAAGGCCTTAATAAAGCAGGTCACAACACCCTCAAAGAGCTAAACACAACAACCCTGTGGTCCGTCGTGGTCTCAGTGGTGAACTCAGGAGCCTCATGCAGCCTGTTGAGTTCAGAGTTCATCAACGTCCGACTCAATCACGGACATTTTCTAACACCCATAAGGAAGCCTTTGTGATTTGTTGTTTAGATTCATAAAAACAAAAAAAAAAAATCATATTTTATGGCAGGATCATATTATCCTGCCATAAAACTTCACTTAACAGCTTTTCTTATCTTCAGTCTCTGAGACGAGCCCGACCTTACTCAGGACAGGCGTCAATACGAGGCGGACCTTTACTTACTCCTAAACTAATCTGTGATATCGATAAACAAACTAAATTATTCTTTGATGTTTTTTAAGACGGCCCATCTCTGTCAAGCTGCTGCACTATGAGAGAGAGAGAGGGAGAGAGAGAGAGAGAGACCCCTATCGAGTGCTGCGCTGACCTGTGGAGCTGTGTGAACACATCAGAGTGTTTTAACATTTCATATGAGGGATGTAAAGAACATTTATTTCCATCTCTAAAGCCAGAACAAGCAGTAGAGTGGTCCCCTCCCCTGCTGTCGCTCACTGAAGTTCTTTATAAAGATCATCATGCAGGAGACTCTGAGAGGCCGTGCTCACACTCTGCAATCTCCAGCTGAGCTTTAATCTCCTCACACTTGTCCACAAACTTGTATTATTCCGTCTTTCTCAGACAGATGCTAAAGTGTCTCGCTGCTTCCTCCTCTTTATTTTTGGTCCAGTGAACTAATCAGCACTAAACTCAGAGGAGCCTCTAAGTGAGAGCTGCCTTTGTTTGTTAAATCATGCATCTACACCAGGCTGCTGAAAAAGGAGCGGGTCTTTAATCGGGATGAGCTTTTACTTGAAGTTTTACTCTGCATCAAAGAGACAGAAGATTTGTCCGACTGACCCCTCTCTCTCACTGTATCCTGCATCAGTCTCTCATAGCAGAGTTTGTGATCATGTCCTCCTGTCCATGTGTTTTTATACACTCTCTGAGATCTCATTTGTCGTAGGTCTATCAAAAAAAAAATGGAAGCACTGTGCAGCCGACTGGACGTTGTTGGAGAGTCTTTGTCTTACAGGTCACATAGTGCAGGACTTGTCCAGAGGGTCCTGAGGAGATGTGGGATGAGGCTGCGAGGCCTGGCTGGACTTGGGCAGCACCATGGGCTTGGGCCTCAAGGCGGGGGGTTTGAGCTGCACGCCCATGCGGGGCGCCACAGCAGGCTTGAAGGTGCTCATGGTATCGCTGGAGGAGCTGGTGCTGCGGCGGATGGGCGGCTCGGTGTTGGCGGTGGACCTCAGCATGACGCCGTGGATGGGGCTGAGGGACTCGCTGGAGCTGGCGGGCGTGGGACCCCCGCCGCTGCCGCCGGACGTCTGCCGCTGCTCCAGGGTGTCCAGCACCACGTCAGGGGCGTGCTTGGCTGAGCTCTGCCGCTCCAGTTCACGCAGCTCATTCAGAGCGGTGTTCATCGTCTCCTCTATGTCCTGCAGGAGGCGGAGAGAGAGAGAGAGAGAGAGAGCGTGTATTAGAGGAGGGGAGGAAGAAGCCGGAAAATAAAACTGATGAGAGACACAAGCGAAAAACAGAAAGACAGAGAGAGAGAACGAGAGGAGAGAGAAAGAGAGAAGAGAGAGAGAAAGAGCAGCAAAGAGATGTGAGAGAAGGTAAACATAAAAAGCGATTAAAAGAGGATCCAAGTGACAGCTTTTTAAGGAAACACCCAAGCATGCATTATACATGCAGAGACTCAGCAGAGTGTTACTCTCCCTCTGCATGCTAATGACTTTGGATAGCGAAGGAGATGCACAGATGACAAGACATGTTGATCTGAGCATGCTCCCTCCCTGCAGGCAGACAGACAGGTCTCTGTGACCTCTGCTTTCTAAGCGAGCCTCCAAACAAACATCAATCAGGGCTTCACTGCTCAAAACTGTTGAACTGAGCCAGAGACCTACAGTCAGAGATGATGCTAACAGCTTAGCTGCTTCAACATAAATTTTCCCGTGTTAGGCATCTACAGCTAATATATCATGTTTTGTTTTTTTCATGCTCAAAAGTAAGCCTGTGTTGAATCTAGTGTGAGGCGTCCCTCTGTGCAGCGACGCTCCCTGCAGTCTGTCTGACTGTGAAGCTCGTCTTTGCGTGTATTTAGCACACAGACACAGTTGCAGCCAGAGGAAGCAGAAGACAGGGACTGACTATGTGTTTACAGGGCGGGGCAGGGCTTTGATGGTGGAGGGAGCTGCGGTCTGGTCGCCGCTCGTCCCGCGCTGACCTGTGCGATGGTCTCCGGGTCGAGGGGCTTGCCGCCGTGGTGGTGGTGATGGTGGTGGGTGTCGTTGAAGGATGGATACTGGCCCGAAGAGGTAGAGCGGCGGATCGGGGGGCTCTCCATCTTCTTCAGCGACTCGTGGCGGCTGATGTTGGAAAGGCTGCCGTGGCCCGTGCGGCGCCGACGCTCAGGGCTGTCCATGGGCATGTGGTTGCGACTCCGCAGCATGTCCCGTGGACTGAAGTGGCCCAGGACAGGGGAGCCCATCTCTGGCGTGCCCCCGTGAGAGGGATGCACCATGCAGTGCACATCACTGGGGCGGGCGGGGGGGCGCCGCGATGGTGGGTCTGATCTTTTCCTGTGCCTGCAGGGAGAGAAGATGAGGAAATGTTTATGTTTGCATCAGCGCTTTATGATCCACATGTAGCCACACTAAGCCATTTAAGTTCAGATATTAGATTCTGCACTCAAGTGTTTGTTTTTTAGATTCCATATTTATTATTTATAATCCGAGGCTCCCAATGTTGGGTTATTTATGTTGTTGATTAGAAATAATTGCAAGCACACAAAAAAAAACATTTTGTGCAATTCAGACAGTGCTCTCTCTCTCTCTCGCTCGCTCAGCCTTTGGTTAACATACCGCTGAAGATCTGTTGTTTTTTTAAAGCTATTTTCCGATTCTATCGATCATGAACATAAAGATTTTAAAACACGAGATATCCAGAAGTATTGGAGTTTTTGACACCTTTAGAGCAGGTGGAGAGGACCTGGATTCATCAGAGCACGTAAACAAACTACCGCTGCATCAGCAGAGCTTCAGTCTGAACATTTTGACCATGAAACGAGGCTGAACATGATTCACACAGACGCTACGTTTGCAGAGTAAAGCACGATGTTTCACCAGAGTTAAATTTAAGTTCAATGGCTCCAGAAAAAGCAGGCGGAGCGTCGCTTCTGCTCAGTTTGTCTCTGCATATTTATCATTTGCAGAAACACGGAGCTGAAGCAACAACCTCATCTCTCATCTGAGCTGCCTTCACCAATCGAAGATGAGAAGTCCGTAATTATAAAGTTATCTGGTACACACACACACGGATGATTTTCTGAAGGTAAAAGACAAACAACATTTATTCTGTTGTTATTAAGTCACATTTCCTGCAGCGAAAGCATCCATTAAAAAAATAAAATAAATAATGAATCAATATGATCTGAAAGCTGACACGTGTAGGAACAAATGTTTTTAATTAGTTTCCTTTGTGATGATGAACAAACAGAGAATTACTCCTTTAATCACTTCTCTGAGACAAACGGCTTCATTTGAGAGTTCCCGTCTGCCTAATGAACGCTGTCTCAGCCATTATCATTAAGATTAAGAGGCAGCGTCACCCCCGCATGTCAACAAAAGAGCAGTAATGAACACGGGTATGAAGGACTGTGAGACTCTCGGGGACTCTGACTGCAGCTGTTTGTGCTTCTGTATCCACACACTCGCTTCATTCCTTCACAGAAAACCAGAAACACTGAGGTTAATCCAGAGCTGTTCTTCTCTAAGACACTGAACCCAACGCCCGCTGAAACACTGACACAAAAGGAGACATTCCTGAAGGTAGAAATGCGTATTATTGAACTCTGCAAGTTCTCAGAAGAGCTCAAAGCTGCTGGTGAAACTGAAACATGAGGATTCATTCGAGTGTCAGGTGAGAGAATTTCTATTTTTTTCTTCAGACTGCAGTATAAAGTTTAGAACAGTAAACAACTGCAGGTACTGCTGGCAGCCTGCAGGGGGAGCAGTCTACATTCATAACAGCAGACAGACTCTGCGAGCTGTCATCAAACTGACTCTCTTCTCCTTTTGTGTATCATAGACTTAACTAACAGTAATGTTTATCACAAGACATGTTAATGGATTCTTCTCTCTTAAAACAAACGGTAAACGGACTCAAGCTTGTTCATTTCTTTTCTAGCCACCGCAGGTCACACCAACACATTCACACACTGATGGTAGAGGTTAAAGAGTCCATCAGTATTAACTCATCCAGTCATACAACACAACACCGACGAAGCAGCGGGAGCAACTTGGGGTTAGGTGTCTTGCTGCAGGAGCTGGGAATCGAACCCTGACCTTCAGGTTGAGAGACGACTCAGCCGCCCCAACAGAGAACTTCAGTGTTAATCATCCCATTAACGTGCATCCTCTCCACTCATCAGTGCACTTAGGTAAAGTCGTTAAACAGGTATTCAAGCGCAAGCAGCTGCAATAACCTGTGTCCTGCAATGTTGTGTTAGCATGCTAATATTAGCGCTCTTTAGTTAGCTGTTGGATACTGGTAAAGATTTCTGAGGATGTAGATATATGTTTCTTAACCTCCGCCACAACCTCAAAAAGTACCCATTAGGCTCTGGTGGCGCAGTGGTTAGTGCCCCATGTATGGAGGCCATGGTCCTCCAAGCGTCATTCCCCACTCTCTCTCTCTCTCTCTGATTTCCGACTCTATCCACTGTCCTATATCTCATCAATTTCATGAGACCGGCACGTCGGAATGGAACGAGTCTGACACTGTCCACAGAGAGCTGGTGTTTGTTTGAGAGAAGATTGTCCAATGTTGGGCGCCTTGGACTTCTATTTTTGTTGCAGATTTTCAAAACATATTTTTCCTAGTATCACATCAAAGTTTCTGCTATCGAGTGGACCCTGGTGAGCCTACAGTGCTGATCAGAAGAAGTTATTTTATGGATACCTTAAATATAATTCCTGTTTGGATTGAGTGTGAAAGCGTCTTGTCGTTTTCATCCCGTGACTCTTTTTGCGATCGTGATGTCAAACTGGTTTCCCTTCCACTCGATGAGAGCGTCTTTTCATTGAGAGCAACGTCAGAGGAGGAGAATATCTAAAAAAAGCTCAGGATATAAAAGATTCAACGCTGAGGATTGTCTGAATGAAGGAGCAGAAAACATCGAGGGTGGGGGTTTGACAGGAGATGTATGGTGAGGTGGGGGGGGGGGGGGGGTCACCTGGGAACAGTTGACAGGTAGACAGGGTGTGTTGATTGGCCGGCGTTGGGAGTCAGAGCAGCTTTGAAAAAAAAAACATGATTCAGTCGGATATGTTCTCCTCGTGCATTCAAATACCTGCAGCGGTGTAAATACTTCCTCCTGTGTGAGTCATCAGCGTTCAGCAGCGACTTAGAGGGAGTGAGTACGGCGCTGAATGACGAGGCATTTGTACACGTGTTTGGAAAGAGCCAGTAACAGGCGATTCAAGGTCGAGACGAGCGGGAAGAGAAACGCTGGCACAACACCAGAGCACACTGCCAGAATGTCTAAGGTGAGATCGGATGTGTGTGTGTGTGTGCGTTTGGCTGGCATCCCTCCCTGTGAGAGTGTGTGTGTGTGTACAGTATGTTTCAGTAGAACCAGCTGATGACAAGCCAACACTGTGAGATGTGTTTTTGATACTGTTTTTCATACTGTGCAACTGTCCGCTTACTGAGACTAAGGGGGGGGGGGGATCAAACACACTGTTAGCGGGTTGTTGTGAAATGTCGCGGTGCACCATTGCTAACCATTCCTTCCTACTTCCTATAAACCAACCTGGAGATGTAGGCCTCAGAGATCCTGGGGTCAGTGGGCGAGCCGAGGTCTTTCCCCGAGCATTTTTCGTCCGCGGCGTGCCCGCTGCTGGCCTCGCTGTCAGCCTTCTGACTCAGAGTGTCGGAGAAGTTGTCGTCTCTGGAGGACAGAGACGGAGAGGTTGTGAGACGAGGACACAAGAAGAGGAAGCGACAGAAACACAAACAAAGCACATCAGTTGATCTTTTCTATTCTATGACAGGGTTTGATGTCAGTTTCCTGTGAGTCAGCACACACACACACACACACACACACACACACACACACACACACACACACACACACACACACACACACACACACACACACACACACACACACACACACACACACACACACACACACACACACACACACACACACACACACACACACACACACACACACACACACAGGTCCAGAGAGTCAGATGAGTCATGTCCTCGAGGCTGTCAGTAACACACGCACACACACGCACACTGTATGGGTGTCAGTGAGCAGTGTGACTGGGTGCAGGGGACAGTTGGTGCCTGTCGGGTGGCAGAAATCAGAGCTGCCTCTGAAGATGTGCACAAGCTGGCAGAAAACAAAGACACTCTTATCTGTGTCTGCATGAAAGCACACAGACACACACAGCGGGGGCGATAAGGAGGTAACGAATAACAACACAAGAATACTGAACTTTGATACTCTACTGTTATGAAAACCACGGCAACCAAAGATAACAGTCCTAGGCTGTGTCTGAAATCACACACTCATGTAGGGGACTACATCGTGCATTCATTCAGCAAAATGTTAAACACATTTCGGACACTACTTGCTCACTCGCCGCCCGCCGACAGTGACGTCATTGATGTCGCGCAACTAAAACATGCAGCTTAAAAACGGCCGAGGATCAATAATGACAGTAAATAACGGCATGAATTCCACTGACCACTTCCATTATACTGAGTTTAGTTTCACAAAACAGTTACAAATATTAGATTTTTAATAAATAATGAAACATATCTTTGCACTAAAACTCGTTTATTTGTGCTCAAACATCTCAAATATGAACTTCACCGTGTTTCACGCTGGTCGCTCTCAGAGGGTCTGAGAGCAGTCGAGTCAAACACCACTCTCTGCTCGCGAAAATCATTGAACCGCAATGCATGATGGGATATATTGCTCGGATAGTGACTATCGGTTGTACACTACTTTTCACAATGCATGATTTCAGACACCCAAATGGGTCATTTCTTGTTTTTAATGATGAAGAACTGCAGGCAAGCTCCTGCACGCTGTGTACATCACATATGGTCAACTGGCGGTGTTGTGTTTGTTCACTTTACACGGTCTCCTCCTCTGCTCTCTGTCCGTTTCTAAGAAACATAAACGTGTTTGGAGTCTCCAAAAGTTTGTCGACCTGTGAATTTAATGGACCACGTCTGCTCTCTCTCTCGCTCGCAGCAGCGTCGCCTTAAATCAGGATTTTCAAACAATACATTTTTTAACATCGCAATGAATCAAATTATAATCGCATGTTTGAATTATTTTGGATTTCCAAACAGTTCTTGTTATTCTTACAGTATATTTGTCTCATGTTTTTAGCTGAGAGTAATTTACTTCCTGTGTGCTTTTATTTTGACTTCCTGTAGATGGAAGTTAAGCACTGAAACAGGAAGTGGTTAGGGATCCCAAACTGAGGTCAAACAGCCCAAAGGAACGGTAACAAAGGCCAATGTGTGATTTCATAACGTCAATGTGTGATGTCATAAGGTCAATGTGTGATGTCATAAGGTCAATGTGTGATGTCATCAGGTCAATGTGTGATGTCATCAGGTGGATATTACTTTGGACTCGTCAGCTGAACTGTCTGAGAGTTTGTTAAAGTGAAATGAGACATTCAAAGATGCAGCAGTGTTCTTCTTTTACATCAGACTACAGGGAGACACTGAGGACGACTACGGCCTGAAGGGACAAAATATGGTTCATGTGATTTTGTGTTCATCTTCATCCCTGCAGGTGAACGCTCACAGCCGTGGTTAAAACACGACTGAAGATAGGAAGTTCTTTTTGAAGCCTTAGTACTTTTTAACTTATCGACCACTGAAAAAAGACGCTATCAAAAAAGTATCAAACATTTTGACGACCTCAGAGGCGATGGTGAACAACATTCACGGCAGCCGGTGGCGGTGAGTGGAGTCTTGAGAGAGACATCCCGTCCTGAAGAGTTCCTTCAGTCGTCTCTCTCTGCACGTTTTATCCTGAGCTCTTTTATGGGGGACGTTGAGATCACAGCCCTGGGAGCTCTCTCACTCCTCTGCCTGCTCGCTTTAAATAGAGAGGAGGATGTGGCTTTGCTCGGGGACAGCCCGTACAGCTGTTAACTTCCAGACTCTTTCATTACCTAAGACGACAGCAGAGGCCCTCCTGGTGAATTATTGATGTCGGCACAGTGACCGGGGGAGAGAAAAGAGGAAGGAGGGAATATGTCCATTTTATCGGCCAGCTGCTAAGTGATTGGAGTGATTGTTGTTCCTGCCCTGAGGAGACGGTAGATCCAGTCCATTAGGCACCAACAGTATGTGTTGCAGAGTGTGAGAGACAGGTCTAAGACCCTGCTGATGGAGGATGAACTAAAGCTGAAGGTCCTGAACGCATGACTCTAAAGTTAACTGACCTGCAGACTAACACAGACTGGTGTGTTGTTTAACCCTCAACGATGTAATCAGAGGGAGCTTTAAGACACACATCGAAGGCTCTGATAGGAGCTGGTGAAGTACCGATCACATATGAGTCAGCTGTTTTATAATCTTTGGTCGCAGGATATTTTCTAACCACCATCTGTTAACGAGGTAGAGACTGAAGTGAGGAAAAAGGTGTTTACACCTGCTGCTCCTATCAGGAATCAGGGAGAGAGAGAGAGAGAGAGAGAGAGAGAGAGAGAGGGGAATGACAGGCAGGAAAGAAGCCACAGGTACGGTTCGAACCCGTGCCACAGGCTTGGAGGATCAGGGCCTCTGTACACGGGGCGCACATAACAGCAACTAGGCTACCGGCGCCCCCCTCATTGAATGATTTGAAGGTGATTTTAAATGATGTGGAGGCAGGAACATTCAGCTATTGATGACTACTCAAAGTGCTTTTACACTGCAGGTCACACCTACACATTCACACACTGATGGTAGAGGCTGCTGAGTAAACAGACCACCAGAAGTAACTAATCTATTCATACACACTCACACACCGCTGACAAAGCAGCGGGAGAAACTTGGGGTTAAGTGTCTTGCCCAGGGACACATCCTACATGTGGCTGCAGGAGCTTGGGATCAAACCCCCGACCTTCATGTTGAAAGACGACCAACTCTACCAACTGAGCCACAGTGTGATATTTCGATTATTCCCTTGCTCGGTCATGATTTTATATTCACGTTCAAGCTATTAGCAGCTGTACACACATCACAGGAGAACTACAAGATCACGGGAGAATAAGAGAACAACGTTCAAACAACATGTTGCTTTGTCTTTCTGAGGATGATTTGTTCTGTGCCTGTTTTGACGTCATGTTGATAAAGTGATGGAAAATATGATTCTGTATAAGAGTCTGTATATTGTGTTTTATTTTGAAATTGACCGGACGCTCTCTGTGTCAACTTGGCTGACTTCCTGTCCGGGTCGTTCTATTCTGTCCAGCTTAACGCGTGCCTGCAGCGTTGTCCGTCAAAAATAGCCTTGCAGCGTATTTGAAACGGAGCAGAGAGTAGCTGCGCTGCTAGCACGGTCAGGAGACGGACCCAGCGCTCGGTGTGGAAACAGGAGAGTGACTAGAGTGGCAGCGAGCGGCAGCTAAGGTCCAGCGCTGACTGACTGCGGCGTGCACGGAGGATGTGGAATTTGGTGGTAAGACTCTTTTGGACTCACAGCTGCATGCCTCATTCAGTAGACTGGAGATATCTTGGAAAGTGTGTTTATTGTTCTTATTCTTGTTTTGGATAGAAAACATTTAAAAAAACAAGTTTTTAATCTCTCTCTTCCGGGCTTTTTCAAGTGACTGAGTGATCTGCTACCAGTTAAGATTAGGTCACCTGGGTTGATGTAATCTTTGCATTTCTTTAGATGACAGTGGAACCTACATCTTCTACATAACTTTTAACATTTTCTCTGTTATTGCTACATTAAAATAACTGAATCTGCTTCTTTGAGCCTTAAATTGAGCTCCTGTAATCTTGAAGCTGGTCGGATACAGGAATGCATTACTCAGTCATATCTTAAAACACACAGAATGGAAACACTCACATGTCTTGGACCACGATGTACTGGTGTGGCACCAGGCCATCGATGCCGTTGTGCCGTCCCTCCCACCAGTCCTCCGACGCCCGCTGGTACAGAAGCAGGGAGGCGCCCTTCTTGAAGGACAGCTCTCGGGAAGAGCGCCCGACGTAGTCAAACTTGGCAATGGCTTCAATGGGCTCACCCTCTGTCAACGGAGGAAGGATTACAGCGTCAGGTCAGGTTTGTCAGACAGAGACATCGAGTACAGACGGATATGATCACATCATGTGCAGACATTTTTACTCAATGAGGCAAAAGGTGCAGGATTATGAAATAAGAATCTGTATCCGTACAGATGACACATGCTCTTTAATGTTTACATTTGGCTGCGGAAGAGTCTACTTTCAGGTCTTCTTCTGGTGTGTTTTTGTGCACGTGTGTGTGCACATGGAGTCCAAGTGTGCTGAGCCACTTTGTTGTTTTAGTGGTAGTCAATAGTAACCTGGTTCTACAACAGCAGGCCCGGGCCACAACTAGCCCCGAGGGGCTGCAGCAGGATAATTATAGAAGCTGCAGAGAGGAGATCTATAAGACCCCGGGGCATGTCACTCACTGTATGGATCACTGCTCTGGGATGATATCTACTCGATACATGAACAAGTAGAACCCGGGATCAGTCACATGGAAGATAACCATGGGAGAGTAGGGTTGTCACGGTCGCAGAGTTGTTGACGATACTCGTAAAAATCAATAACAATGACAGAACTAGAATTAGAAGACACCCAGTGAGGGGACGTTTCTTGTTCTGAGTTACCGAACATTGCAGGCAGACTTCTGCACACTGAACAAAAACAAACATTGCCAATGATTTTGTGCAGATTTAACAGTGTCACCGCCTCTACTTTTTGTGTTACTATGAGACACAAATGCAACTTTGACATCTCTGTGAGACGCCTGAAGAGATGGAGACCCATCTCAATATGCAGACCTGTGAACCTGAAGGGATCACGGCTGCTGTCTCTCTTTATCTCACAGCAGCTTTGTGTTCAAAATATGACTGAAGACCTGTTGGTTTTTTTAAACTTCAGTTCCTATTTGATACTATCGATCATTAAAATAACAGAGATAGTATCAGAGAATCGAACATCCTCATGGGAAAGACTGAGAAACATCGTGACAGATACAAATCGGTGATGGATTGAGCCGTTTTACAGATGTTGTTTATTTTCAAAACGACTCTAATAAATCAAACATCTTTCCTGATGAAAACGTGTGTAAACAACAGCTACAGCAGACCCCCCCCCCCCTCCTCAGAAAGGTGCACGACGTCTCAGAGCCGATGTGCATTCTCTGCAGCAACACAGGTCTAAAAATAGCTTCTCTATTCCTCCCTCGCTCCCACCTCTGCTCCCCTCCTATCTCACTTTTCCCACTTCAAGTCAGACAGGAGGTCCCTGGACAGACGCTGCCTCGCCCTCACACTCGCTCCACACACACACACACACACACACACACACACACACACACACACACACACACACACACACACACACACACACACACACACACACACACACACACACACACACACACACACACACACCACACACACACACACACACACACACACACACACACACACACACACACACACACACACACACCACACACACACACACACACACAACACACACACACACACACACACACACACACACACACACACACACACACACACACACACACACACACACACACACACACACACACACACACACACACACACACACACACACACACACACACACACACACACACACACACACACACACACACACACACACACACACACACACACACACAGACGGAACAGAGAAAATAGCCGAGGCCTGATTTCACCTGTGAAAAGCCATCAAGGTTTATGTTTTAAGGGAGCTTGGAGGAAATTCCCAGATGAGCAGAGAGAGAAAATACGACATGTTTCTGAGCAGAGCGGCCCCGTGTCCTTTTTCACCTCGTTTATTCCTTTCATGTATTTTCTCACCAACCTTTAAACCGCCACCGTCTTTGTTTCACTCCAGTTAACAGGATTGACACGTCTGGTTGTGACGTCTCTCCAATGAAAACGTGACAGGCAGGAATTTACCATCTGGATTAATTTAGCTGAATTGCTGCTGGACAAGGCTTTTCATTATGTTGATGACGGGGATTTCTCCCCCTCTTTTTCCCTCCCTACGACCCATCCATCCTCCAATCATCCATCCATCCATCCATATACAAATGTTTATGCAAGACACACACACACACACACTAGGTATTTGCAATGAATCACAGTACATGAAATGATACAGAGTGTTTGATACGAACAAGCAGAGCTTTCTCACTCAGCATGTTTACAACCCTGCGTCTAAAAAGGCTAGGACGGTTTCCTCTCTGCACAGTAGAGTTTCAGTTCGTAATTCTGGATGCAGCGATGAACTGAGCTCACAGACGATGTCTACCTGGAGTGTTCCTGTGACGTCCACAACAGAATCGTGACTGTGTTTAATGCAGGGCCATCTGAGGGCCTGACATCACAGTCAGCTGATGTTTGTTATCTGCCTTGTCTTCTGCATGCAGAGATTTCTTCAGATTCTCTAATTCTTTTGGGCTGCATGGTTGGCTCTGTTGCCTCACAACGAGGCCGTTCCTGGTTCGAATCCCTGTTAGAAAAGGTTTGCATGTTCTCCTCGTGCATGTGTGGGTTCTCTCCAGGTACTCTGGCTTCCTCCCACAGTCCAAAGACATGCTCGTTAGGTTAACTGCTGACTCTAAATTAGGTGTAAATGTGGGTGTGGCCGTTTGTCTGTCTCTATAAGTCAGCCCTGTGATTGGTTGGGATGACAGCTGGGAACTGATTTGGAAGGTGGTATAGACGATGGATGGATGGATGGATGGATGGAGCCACTATTGGACTTTGCAACAGGTGGGTGAACCTTTCTGCATGTGACGGCTTCGTTGTTCATCGGCCAGCGCGTCATTTAGTCCTGCAGAGTCTCACACGTGTGTTTAATATGTAAAGTGAGTGAGATGTCTGCAGGATGTAGGAGCCTGGTGTGAGATGTGTTTAACATCATTTATATTGAAAACAGTTCCTCCCTTCTTCCTGCTGTTTCGTCAGAAGAGAAATATGAATTGTAAGTGCTTGCTGCTACAAACCGAGCAGGAGGCTTCATTCTGGACATGAAAAGATAAAAGTGGGTTGAACTCGGCGCTTTATGGTGAAATTAATGACCCTTCTTGCACGCTGCCCTTTAACACATGCAATCCAATACACAGTTTGCCTTCAGGGACTCTGGACAACAAGGCCATCCTGCCGTTCTCCTGCAGAGCGATATATATAATCAACGAACCAGTTAGCTCAGCTCCGACCTCGTAGCAAATTTACCAGCAAATAATATCGATGTATTGATGGTGAGCGAGAAGTGCCGCTCAGAAAACATGCAGTAAATCTCCAGGCCTGAGTTTGGTCTGTGTGTGTGTGTGTGTGTGTGTGTGTGTGTGTGTGTGTGTGTGTGTGTGTGTGTGTGTGTGTGTGTGAGCCATGAGCAGGTTTTCAAAATTTGACTTGTGACAGCCCCTGCTTAGAGTGTGTGCGTTTGTGCTCATGTCTCATTATTTACACCTTAGAGCTGCCCTTCATTGTTTCCACTTACACCTGAATAAAGCAGAGACCATGTTTCTTTAAAGGGGACATATTATGAAAAATCCACTTCTACAGTGTATTTGAACATATATTTGGGTAACCTGAGTGTCTACCGAACCACAAAATGTGAAATCCGAGTGAGCTGATGTCTGAACGTGGCAGCATATACTCATATACATATGCTCCGTTTCTAATTTGCTCTCCTTGTGATGTCACAGTGGGATTCTGGTTAAAAAGAAATCCCCTCCCCTCCGCTGGTATCTCCACCCATGGACTACACCCCCAGCCTAAAACAAAACTTTGTGCATTTTTATTCTCGCTACAGAGGAGTGATGTCTACCAGGAAAACTCAGGGGGGGCTCATTGAATTTAAAGAGACACACACACCAAAACGGAGCGTTCTGAGAGAGCTGGTTTATACAGGGTCACAAACCTCCTCTGGTGCTTGATTCATGTTATATTTTGACCAAAGCACAGCACAGATGTTTCATTTAAACCACAGGGGACTTTTTGAAAAGGTGGAGAATATAATATAATATGTCCTCTTTAATGGCCTGATCGGACCAGAGGAGAATGTTTCTCAGCAGCTACTCAAACCAACATGTTGGGGTGAGTTGGACTTCACTCTGTCTGCCTTTGTGTTTCCTTTCTTTTATGAGCAGCTGAACAGATTCGAGCTCTGAGCTGAGAAAACATCTGTGTTGGTCTGTAACATAAAACAGCCGCTCAACAAACAGGAAGAGACGTCTGCTTCTGTGTCTGAAATCCGAATGAGGATGAGGTCATGGGGAATTTAAAAATAACTTATGACAATAACTGGACCATGGTTCAGAGTCTCTGAAGGGAGGGTCTCGAGTCAGTCAGGACATCCTCCCAGTCTGCTAAAATGACAAAACACATCAGCCAAGGATTTCTGGAAAACATTATCTTCCATAAATTTCTCAAAGGCAGGAGGGCCGTCAGCTGTCTGACAGCAGCTTTATTCAGACCGCCGTTTCAAGCCGCGATATTTACGCCCCTGTGTCGCTTCGCCTTCAATCTAAATATCCTTGAGGGGGGGACAAAGAGGTAGTAACAGAGGCTTTACAGAGGTGAGACGGTTTCAACAGAGCCAGCAGGGGGAGCACAGCGCCGTGTGTGAGTGCATGTCTGACTGTGTGTGTGTATGTGGAGCTCCTGCTGTACACCATCGCGGAATAAAGATTATATCCTGCGTCGTTCTCACATCAGCTCACTCGGACTTGCTCCGGAGAATACTAGGAGTCTGGAGGAGAAACTCCGGGTGAAGTCAGAGTGAAAAATTACACATACAGCTCCTCCTGGAAACATCAGGAGTTTTTCAAGAGTTTTCAGCAAGTGTGAACTACGATCCTCTGACATCCAGATATGGAGAGAGTAAACGCTGATGTCACAACAAGAGAGCACCTCCATATTTCCAAACTCTGTATCTGATGATACATGTTAACAAGAAGCTCCCAAAAATCACCTCTAAAAAGATTCAGGAAAAAGCCTGACTCTTTTCCCACATCTGTGCAGCAGCTCTCTGTCAGGGATATTTATCACTTTTAAAAAGTCCAAACTTTTTATATTTTCTGCCTTTTAGCTGCATGTTAACGGTTCTCTCTGACCCCGGCTGTTTGATTTGGCGCATACTTACTGGTGCATGTTTCAGTCAAACAAAGGAGCACATGTACAATAACAGTAATTAACCGTATCCCAGCACGTCTGAGAGAAGTCTGCAGTTTCTTCAACAGGAGTATTTTTATGTGTCTATGATTTCTGTTGGACACATGGAAGTGTAATTAACTGAAGAGAAAACGCAGGAGGTATGAGTTCTGAAAAAGTTCTAAAAACTTGACACTTTGCACACATGCTCCACACATTGCCTCTCTTTGAATCAATTCAACACATTCTTCACAGGAAGGAAAAGAAATGCAGGGAATTGAAAACTGAAATGGGCTGTGACCCGGCGGAAATGAGATCTCTCTGCAAAGTGGTCCGTCCAGTGGGTGCAGACCACCGTGGGATTTGTCAAAGAAGGATGTAAAAGCCTCCACAGAGAAGCAGAAGCATTAGAATATGAATGGCCTCCATCACTGTGAGCCCAGTTTCAGGACCTTCAAGGTTACAGCATTAAATGGGCTGAAAGGCAGGATTATCTGCAGAGAGCCGGGTTTAACCCTCGCAGCACCACAGAGGGAGAGATTCACGAGGGACACAAAGTATGGACGCCAGAGAACAGCTTCTCACTGTTAGTGTTAAGTACTGTCTAATGACCGATATGGTTTTAAAGGACACCGCGAAGAAACAGCCGTGAAAAGGGACACGTTTGAGTGTTTTTATGTTTCTTACATGCTTATATTATTACTCACCGTCCTCGCTGGTGTGCGTCTCTGTCCCTCCCTCGTTGTCTACCTCCTCCAGGACTCCGTGCTCGCTGTAGGGACTCTCACTGTGGGGGACAAGATCAAACAGGGTCAGAGTCACGGGTCAGAGCCACTGGTCAGAGAGAATTTAACCGGGTGAGCTGCATGTTTGAACACAAACATGCATGTGCAGAAGGTACGTGGTGGTTGGCCGTCGGCTGTAGTCTTTGCCGTGTGTTCTAGTGCAACTTTTTTGCCAAGACAAAAGGCGCTGTGCGCCGATTGCAGTTTGCAACTTAAAACTCAGTTAAAGTCTGAACAGTTAAATCTTACATCAGTGAAGATGACATGTTATAAGACAGGTTTTTAAAGTGAACTTGACCTAGAGGGAGTTCACACAGCGGTCACTGGGAGTACTCTGTAAGAAGCTAAGATCCTTTATCTGTGGCTGAGTCTCTCTCTTTTTTTAAATGCTCTTCTTCTGGCGTCACGCTGAGAGAGCTGGCAGTGAATCCAAACACACATCACCTCAGATTAACCCTGCCAGGAACCCAGATACTCGTCCCTCACTAACATGTCACCCGCTCCTCCTTCTTCCTCTTGCAAGAAAAGGAGGCAGTAAATGTGCTCAGAGCGTCAAGAGCAGAGCCGAGGGTTCATGTCTGTGCTGAGACGGCCGAAACGCTCGCAGACTTACTGTGAGGTCAGACAAAAGGTGGAACAGACCGGTAAAAGTAAGAAGAAACAGGTGATAACTCTGCCTACAGATGTGGAGCTCTCACAGAGCGACTCCTCCATATGCTGCAGTTCTTATAATCCTCCTCTTTCTCTGCCAGGTGACCTTTGTTTTTCCTCCCGCTGTGGTTATAGTGATTAAAGTGATTATTTCGGGCTGTCTCCCCTACAAAGTCAACCATGTAAAGTCTGCGCTGACACATGCTCTGCCTCGTCATGCTCTCTTAACCACAGGAACCTAATTTGTGAGTAATTACTGATCCACTGATATACATCTGACAGTTGCACAGCAAAGAGCATTCGCATACCTGCATGCTGAGGGACTCCCTGATGAAGGAAGTTTGGCTGCGAGCCTTTATTTCATTCAAGGTAAGAATGCTCAGAACAGCGAGGCCAGTCTGGGGCCGATGAGGTGTAACCATGTAGAGTAAATCGACTGCCAACAGCATTATCGAGGTGTGTTAGTCAGAGTTTGAGAAATTCTATGGACTTACATGTTTATATGTATTTCAAAATTCAGACTTCGAGAATAAATCCACTTTTTTCACATCATGTAAACGTAGTGTTTCTTCTTACTCAGAGATCAAAAGATTCATTCCAGCTTCATATTAATAAGACATTGAGGGTAACAGAATACATATGCACAAACAGAATAAATACAAATAATGGTAGTAGAGGTATTATTGTTAATAAAAATAGTAAATAAAACAGGACCCAGTATTGAATCTTGTGGGACCCCAGTCTCTAGACACAATTTTTACCTAAAACATACTTCAAACACCAAATGTGGAAAAATCATCTCAAGTTTCATGTGGCATGCCATGTGACCGTGAGGACTTAACTCACAGTAATGACGCTGTGTGTCTCAGTGTTTTTCACAGGTATATTGGTCGCATCGGTATATAGGATGCAGCGAACTTTCAAGGTAAGAATTTGGTATCAAAGTGAGTCTTATACACCGGATTGTACGGTATTTGGTGTTGACAGGGTAGAGAACCAGTTTCAGATTGAACATTGTTAATACAAATTTTGAGTAAATGAGTAAAGTCTGTTACCTGCTTTTTGTAAAGTGTCTTGAAATAACATTTGTTATGAGTTGACGATATACAAATAAAGATTGACTGATTAATTGATAAATAACACAGGACCCAATATTGTACCTTGTGGGACCCCCTTTTGGATTCAAAAACAAAGAACGATCATTAACTAAAGGTGTTTAAAAATCCCCTGAAGTGTCACTAACATTTTGGCTAATAATAACAAAAACAGTCAGAATGCATCCTTCCTCACCAGTAGTCTCCTCCAGCCATACACTTCTCATAGACGGGCCCGTCCAGCTCTTTGGCGTCGGGGAAGATGGTCTCGTGGTGGATGATGATGGTCTTGACGATCTCGTTGACGTGAGCCTGGCAGGAGACCTGGTCCTGGCTGTCCGGTGTGGGCATGAGCGTGGGGCCGAAGCAAATGGCCAGATTGTACGGGTCCATCATGTTCTCGTCGCTGTACTGGGACAGACTGAAGAGAGGAGGGAGGAACAGAGAGGTGAGGATATAATGTCAAATCGCTATAAACATGACTCGATGTTCAAGACTTAGAAGGACATCTGCACCTTAAAAGACATGCTGGCATCTTTATTTCAGCTTGTAAAAAAGCTCTGACTAGCTGCTGGTTATCTGAAACACCCATTAACACAGGAGTGGACTGATATAGTAGAGACACTTATGTTACAGAGACCTTCACCTCGTGTTTTTGTCAGTGCAAAATGACAATGAGTGCATGTCTCCACTCTCTCTCCTCCCTACATTCCCAGTCTCTCTTCAGCTGTCTGATCTAATAAAGGCAAATATGTCCCCCCAAAAAACAACTTAAAAAGGAGCTCTGCAATGCTTATAAAGTAAAACACGGTGTGGTTTCACTGGTTGTCTCCATAGACTTACTGGTTGAGGAAGGCGAAGAGGTAGCGCATGACTACGAGGACAGATCTGGGGATGGTCAGGAGGATCTTACGGATGTACAGCGCTCGCTCGTACAGGTTTTCTATTCCTGGAAGAGCAAAAGAAAAAAGGACAGAGAAGAGTGATGTTATTAAAAAGCTGTAATACTGCAGTGTTCCTCGTCCTGTCCACTCGGCTTATTAACACTGAACACGTCCCGGCATTTAAACACAAACACCTGCAGAAACTGAGCCAATGACTGAGCAGCAAAGATTTAATAATGAAATGATATGTACGATGCTCGCATGTGTGATACAGGGCAGAATAAATAGCATTTTCATCATCATCCTGATATGAACAGAAGAATATAAACATGTGTATTTAATAAAGACCTCGAGGTAAATAAAAAGAAACAGCTGTTTGGAACTCATCCCATTCAGTAGAGACGACGTCTTACAGACACCTGTTCTGTGTTAAACATGCAGAAACGTTATGTTATGGAGCACCCGTAGCCTAGTGGTTAGTACGTGCCCTATGTACGGGAGCTATAGACCTCCAAGCGAGCAGCCATGGGTTCAAATCTGACCCATGGCTGAGGAGGACGACTCTACACCTGCACCTGACGAGAAGGACGCCGGGTTGTATTTCTACTCTTCTGAAAGCAGAGTGTAACGGCTCTCCTGCCTTGAAGAAATTAGTGCAGTAATAAGCACTCTCTGCGAGAACATGATCGTAAACAAATAAATAAAAACATGTTGCTTTGTCGACATGCTGAGGGATTGTCTACCTCTTTATCTTTTAGTACTCGACAATGTTTTCCCCTCTCCAGCGGCTCTAGAAGCAGCCTGCTTTATGTGGCCGAGCCAGGCTCTGCTGGCTGATAAAAATAGCCTCCGTCACCCTCCATTCGCTCTGAGCCTTCTGGGATTTGAGCTGCTGGGAAACTTGTGATGGATTTCATTTTTCATGAATACCTAACCAGGATTCTGCACGGCTCCTGAGCACTTCAGAAGTCCCCTTTTCTGATTTTATAAATCAGCTCCTTTTGTCCGCTTATGCATCACCTAAAACTACACGTGTGTGTGAGCACAGCTGTGTAAAACCTCCCTGCAGTAATTCTAAAATAAAGGATATTAAAAGTTGCATTGTGCTGCTGCTGTGCTGAGAGAACAGCGAGTCAGCTGAGAGCAGGTTCATGTTTTAGTGATGTTGTATCTGCGCCGAGCTGTTCCGCATGGAATCAGCAGAGAGGTTTAAATATTGAGCCTGCAGGGCGTTCAGCCCACGCTGCAATCACCGGCGTGTTGAGCTGAGAATGTAAACAGGGAATCCCCATCCCTCATCCTGCACTAATGTGTTAGACTACACCAGGAAATACACACACACACACACACACACACACACACACACACACACACACACACACACACACACACACACACACACACACACACACACACACACACACACACACACACACACACACACACACACACACACACACACACACACACACACACACACACACACACACACACACACACACACACACACACACACACACACACACACACACACACACGAGACTACACACAAACCTGCATGAACACAGACACACAAGAAGAGACGCTGCACGATGTATACCTGCACAGGCTGTGTTCAAGAGACTTTGGAAATGTTGAATTATTCTTTAGGAGAGACTGAATATGTCTGATGTAACGTCCTCAAAGATCAGGACAGCCAAGAGGAGAGCTGACTGATCACAGCCAAATGACAGGCAGGGTCATTTCATAGGCCGAAGGAAATATGCTCATTGAAGTTTCACAGTGATATGATAAACCAGGTTTAAAATGTGTGTGTGTTTTCTTACTGATGCAGGCCAGCAGGTCGTTGAACCTCTCTTTGGGGAACAGAGGATTCTCCAAACCTCGGAAGTAAAGTTTGAGAACGCCGGCCACCGAGTTGATGTCGTGATTATTCTCCTCGTCCGTCAGAGGGTCGTTTCCTGAGACAGAGACGGGCGAGCAGGTCAGGTGGAGGTCCTTACTTATAAATGCATTAACCTGATTACAGATAATAAAGCCCTCTGCCTAATGTGGTCAGTGAAAGAAGGTGTGAGTTGTACAAATATTGTCTCCGATTGGGATTGAGCAAAAACAAAGATCCTCTATGGAACCAGATGATACAAGTCGTAGTTCTAATGATTCATGAGACATTTTTCACCTCTTTCAAATGAGTTCTTGATGTCGTTGACCTCCAGCTGGGATCCAGATACACGAAAGATTCCTTGATGCTGCAGGCCTGCGCAGAGAAAGTCACAGAGAGGAGAAGGAGAAAGTGAACAAACTCCACCAGTCAGCAAATAAAGCCTGACTGAAGAGGCTCGCCCCGTCTGTTAAGCCCCTTCACTTTTCTAATTAAGGATAGTTAATGAGTCAGGGAGACCGCAATCAAGCTTTACAAAAGTTTCTTGAAGCTGGGATGAGGACTTAATGAGAGGAGAGGTCAGGGTCAGGAGGAGGCCTGATTAGTCTGCTGTTTGTCTCTGTCAGCTAATAGGAAGAAGCAGACGAGCCCTCCACACCGTCACATCTTTACAGCTTACAGATTCTTCACACTGACTCCTTCAGTCTTGTTTGAATTAAGAATCTAAACGCCTGCTACAGACTGAGCTGGCTGTCTGTTTGTGTCACTGTTTGTTTGGAGAGCTGGGCGGAAAAAAAGCTGTAAACAAGACAGAATGTGCATTTTCCCACGACTGTAACTGAAGTGAAACACTGGAGCATGAAAAGAGGAGTCCACACCCAAACCATTAGCGTCTGAAAATCAGTGAAGTGTCACTTTCCACTGAAGGCAGACAGACTGACAACCAACTGTAGCTGCTTTTTTCAAGTGTTCCCAAAGAGGAGAGAGCGCTCCGGGGTCCTTTTTCTAAACACGCTCCGCCTTTTTTGTGCGGTGGCTCTGATCGCTTCTAGTTGAATGGTAAATGGATTTGAGCTTGTAAAGCGCTTTCCTAGTCTTCTGACTACTCAAAGCGTTTTCACACCGCAGGTCACACCTACACATTCACACACTGATCACAGAGGCTGCTGTGTAACGTGACCTTCAGTGTTAACTCATCCTACTCAAACACATTCACGCGCCGCAGACGAAGCAGCGGGAGCAACTCGGGGTTAAGTGTCTTGCCGAAGGACACATCGGACATGTAGCTGCAGGAGCTGGGGATCAAACCACAGCCGCCCCAATGAAAAGTGCTGTTGAGGTCACCAGCACACTTTTCAAAATATCTGATATTCCCTATGTGTTACTGCAGATTGTGGCGTGCACCCTGATCCTCCTCGCTCCGCGTCTGATCGGAGCCGTGATAGCGGAGCGGTCATTATTATGAAGCTCATCATCCAGACAGAGCAGGAGTGAACTCAAATATAAAACTGACAGTAAAAATCAACTGATCAGTGTCGGTCATACAGCTGCTGTTGTCATAGAGACAGGACGCACATGCAGCACTTCATCTAAGCGCTCCTCAGCGCACGGCTAGCACTTTACTGCATCCCAAAAAAAACCTGCAGGTTGACACAGGCCGTCAGAGAATCTTAAACACAGTCAGCCATTTACCGTAGAGATTGATGAAGCGAATGCAGCTCTCGACCACGCGTGGGATTGCCTGTCCAGAGTCCTTTGAAGGAAAAGTAAACACAGAAATGTCAACTGATTAAAGTGATAATAAACAAATCAACATGCACACACAGTTTGTAAGGTTTAGGTAAGAAGTGGTTAGTTCTTCTGAGACAGACTGAGCGGACGGTCTCTAATTCATGACCTCACTGACGATAAAATGTCACAAAAATCACTGAACTGCTGCAAGAAGCATGTCCCGACCTGAAGCCCAAACACTGACTGTATAAAAAATGGACACGGCGATGTCACCCCTTGGTGATTGAGGGGCGAAAAGACAAAAGATGGCAGTCAACATGTTGGAAGAGCTTTATTCACCTAAACATTTTGATTACTGTCGCCCTCTTCAGACTGCTTTTCTTGCAAAAGTGCGGTAACTGAGCTCAGCCACCATCACGTCTTCCTACATTCATATTGATTCTGTGACGTGTGAGCGTGTTGCACTCCTGCTGGTTTCTCAATAGAACGGGCTGCGCTGACCAAATCTCCGGTGGCTAATATACTGACTATTAACATGTACCTCATTCAACCCCAGTTCAAAAACACTCAACTGTCCCTTTAATATGGGACCTAATAAAGATTCTCTGGCTTTTGCAGCCCTCCTCAAGTGGACAATCGAGGAACTGCAGCTGTTTCACTTCCGAATAGGCATCTTTTTTTTCAACATGCATGAGTCCAGCACATACTTAGCCTTCAGTGTTGCTAAATTTACTTTATGTTTTGTGACGCTAGCTATCAAGTGCTGCAGTTAATCTGAAGAGGCGCACACTCGAGATATGAGACCAGCAGCACGTCTCCTTCACAGGAACCGATTCCTCACACGCTCTTAGACATGCATCGCTCTGCCAGCTTCTCCTGCAGCTCAGGGCTGCACAGGGACTCAGTACAGGCTTTTTTTAATGATACAGTGGATCTGTTTACAGCCCTCAGGGGGGGACACACAGTCCAAACACAGCGGCCATGCCAAAATCAAATATCTCTCGTTTGGAGTGGAGCGGTGCTGGCTGAGGACGCGGCCTGCTGCAGCAGCATTATGTCATGTTTTCTCTCTGGATGTGAGAGACTAGAGGGTGATTTGTGTCACACTCAAAACGAGGATTGTCCTGGTACCAGAGATTTAACATAAAGCACATTGATACCTGTTTGCTACCATGGCAACCGAAATTCAAGTCCTAGGAGCCTAGTATTGAATCATTTCTTGGTTTTAATGACCAAAAACTGCAGGAAAACTCCTGCACACTGATTTAATTGCACAAACATTTCAGTACCAAAATGTATTAATGTAATTCAGACAGTGCTCTCTCTCTTGTGGTTTAAAATTTGACTGATTTAAAGTCCCCATGAAACCGAACTTAGAGACCATCTCACTGTCATTTTGTGATTTCCTACTGAAACAGGATGGAACCAATCACAAGATAGAAGGCGGGACAAATCGTTGAGAGGATTTGATCATTAGCTTTGACAAAGCTTTTCAATTGGTTGAAAATGTGGTATGGAGACATTATTGATCTTTGTTCAAACCCCTTAGGGAATGTCAAAATGTTGCACATCTTTTTCATGAGACTGGTACTCTACGTGGGAGAGAGATAAGTCCATCAAACATTACAAGCAATCTCCTGCATGGTGTCCAAGTTGCAACATGTATTGGCAGCGTTTCTGATATAGACCTTCATTGTCTTTAGTTTGGTTTAGTTTGGTTACGCAAGTCAGACAGTGTGCGGGAGTTAACTGAAGATTGAGACGAAAGGCACAAAAAGTGAAAACCTTCAGTTCAGTCTGTCTCAGAATACTCATCGATGTCGGGTTAAAAATGAAGAAACATAAGATGAAAATGTTGTTAAAGGTAGGAGAGAGGAAGGAGATGAGTGCAGGAAAGCAGCATGAGAGCCCCAAGGTGTTTCAAGGTGTCTACCTGATGTCGAGCGTGTGAGTTCCTTCGTCCACGGCTACAAAGAAGAGTCGCAAGAGCCACAGACGGACAGAGAGAGAGAGAGAGAGAGAGAGAGAGAGAGAGAGAGAGACAGAGAGAGAGAGAGAGAGAGAGAGAAAAGCAAGACCCAGATTAGAACCACAGCAGCTGCCCACCAAAGCATTTACCCAGAGAAAACCCTCGTCCACCCTGCGATGGCATCTAACCAGAAGGTAAACAGAAGGAGATGGGCGGGGCCACCAGAGCGGAGGCAGGAGGAGAGAGGCAGCACACCTCATCAGTCTGACATCTGCTCCCTGACTGCCATTTATCCTGCTGTTCTCACCGGCCTCTGCTCCCACTCTGCAGGACGAGAGAGAATCTCTGCCAGCTCGGTGATGCCGGGTCAGCAGTGAGTCAGGGGAGCTGACTGAGACAAACATTTATCCCCCTGATGTGCCGCTCCTCTCCTCCTGCAGCCCCAGTGTCACCCCCACATCTCAGACCCACTCCGCCAGAGCTCACTGACTCATGAGGAAGGCTTCCAAAATCCATCTTAGCTCTGATATATGGCTGCTTTTTGGTTGATTAAAGATGAATCAAAGCTTAGAGGTTTTTGGGGGGTTCCAGAGAGTCAGAGCGGACAGAAAACAGATGAGAGGAGGAGTGATGTCAGGCGGGCAGACTGGTTCTCAGTACCTTTATGAATGACTCCAGATTGCCATTAAATAACCTAACATTAAAAACGGAGCGGGGTCGAGCCCGCCGCGTGCCCGTTTTGAACGTCCCATGAGGATGTCTAAAATACAAAGAAGGCGTCAGCATCAATAAACAACACAGAGGGCTTCCATGCAGTGACCTTCCCGTCCTTTCAAATGTGGAGCTGAGGCTGACGTTTCTGTAAAACACTAAAGATGATTGACAGGTGAAGGGAGATTCCTTTTTCTTTCTCCTCCAGATATCAGAGGACAGTGAAACACACGAGCAGCCGGGGGGCGTGGCATGTGTCAGCGTCCACCCCGTGACAGGGGGGGACCGCCTCTCAGAGTTTATGTGGATGATCTAAGTGGATTTGTGTGCATGAATGAATGCAGTTTGACTTCTTGTGACCCAAACTGGAGATTAAAGAGTCACAGGACTTTTTTTTTTTCTGCTGCCCAATTAAAGTGACATATCTGCCCGAGGATTATAGCAAAACCCTGATCATGTCAACACAGGAGATCAAATGAAACATCCACGATTTAAAGGATGTCACAGTCTGTCACTCGACACTTACCGGTATGCCGAAACGCGTCTGTCTAATAAAGTTAATCAATTTGATCTTCATATTAAAAATGTTGCTGCAGCTTTTTGACCTCTATGACGCAGACCTTCTACCAGATACGTGTGCATTGCGTGCATTGTGCGCCCGCTTCGGTCCGTGCATCCTCTTCTGTGTGCACAGGGAGAGCACAGACAAACAGCTGGAGTGCAGAGGAATTCTCGCGATGATTTTAAAGATTCACTTGCGACAGCGCGAGATAATACGATGTATGTGGTAAAAACACGTTTAAAACACAAACACACATATGGTCATTGTTCTGAAAATAAACCGGATGTTTTAATGTTGTTTCGGTGTCTGACTTCCTGTCCCGTTCATTTTTTTTCTGTGGTAAATTGATGCGCCTCACCTCTGGCATCCGGCAAAAATAGAAGTGAAAACCTATCAGCTCCTCTGAGGTAGGAACACATATCTGGAGGAGTTTCTTGGTAGTTGGTGAAGTTGTGTGAGAAAGGCCTGCTCTGCTTCTTAGTAAATACCGCTAACAAAGATCTCATAATCAATAAGTTCCCGCTGATCTTAAAGATAAACACAGTTCAGTTTTAGCACTCCTCTTCTGTTTTAAACCTGACTGCAGCTTCTCTCCTCCCTCCTCTCGTTTCTCAAGCAGAACATGTTCCCGCTCCCCGACCTCTAAATCTCCCGTACGGCGACCCACGCTGACTGTATTATAACAGGATGTACAGTAACTCTGCCTCACAGGTAACATGAAGGCTGTCAGATCTGCTCGGTTTTACCCCTGAACTTTTCTTGTTATCTCAGTCTAAATACGTCTCCCTGTCCTCTGCTGTCACTGTCACAGAGGCAAAATGTCCTCGCCGCGATGAACGGCAACACGCCATAAAAACTCTCTGTGTCCTCTGACTTGAGAGAGCGGACAGGATGTGGATGTGCGTCTTGAATATGCACAGGTCGTGAAGTGTAAAGAGAGTGTACTTTACCTTGTGGTCATGTAGTCGGCTCTGTGGCCTGCAGCGGAGAGAGAGAGAGAGAGAGAGAGAGAGAGAGAACAGAGAAGTTAGATGTGAGGGCGAGTCGGGACCTGCGGTGCATTTCACATTTCGTCTGTGGAGCATTTGAAACCATCTGTTACTTCCACTGGTCTCCACAAACACAAACACACACCTACACACAAACAAACAACAGCTTACAGCGTGCACAGAGACTCCTCTACAAGCAGCCCTTGAGCTACAGAACAATTAGAGTAAAAACAAACAGGCCGTCAGCTGTGCGTTTAACAGTGAAGTAAACCCACAGATCATCACAGTGAGACTCAGAGATACACGTCTGAACGGGAGGAGATCCGACACAACATGGCTTTAGTGCTTCAGCTCCTCATTTGTGCAAATTTATATTGAGATCAAAAATGCACGGGGGAGATAGAAACAAGGAAACCACCTGACACTGAAAGTAAAAACGTCTGACCACATTCTGCTGTTTAATCACAGAGGATCTGAGACGATGCTACAAGAAACTTTCAACCGACACACAAAGTGAACTGAGATACAAAAGTTCAGTCCTGTTCTTAGGAGTTTGGATGAGATACTATTGATTGCTTCGTCGGTTTTCTTTGAAAAACGAGGTTATAACTGTTTTGTCGCATCTTTCAGGTTATAATACTGAACTGGAACAGAGCAGAGTGAGTCGGTCCAGAGAGGTCGCTCAGAGGATAAATCACACCTTTAAATACATTTATAAGGTTTTCCTCTCTGCAGGATTAAGTGCAACACCGTCTGGAAAGTCCAGGAATTTGTTTTACAACTTCACTGGATGTCTCTCCAGATCAGCGTCTGATGGTTTCTAAGAGCTGGAGTCAATTTGTTCTCATCTCGTTCTGTACTCCAGCTCAGTAACAACAGAGTGATTGATGAAGGAGCAGAGGAAGGGGCTTTTCCTCTTCCTCCTCACTGTGCTTCATTACTTTTTACATTTTGACAGAGACCACCAGGACTGCTGCTAACATCAATGACTGACAGATGCGAGATTAGCAGAGGCCCCTAGAGGACATCCCACCAGAGTGGAACAAGAGGAGAGCGTCACACATCTCATACATGGCAGTCCATTATGTGGGGCGCAAATCAATCACTAAGACAGATAATACCGATTCACAATCCCTCCCAGCTGTGGCTCGCCTGGTTAAAACCCTGATTAGCATCTTGGAGCTTTGACAAGTTGAAGAAGAAGAAAGAAAAACAATGAAGTTGGCCACAAAATAAGGCTGAAAGTGTTCAGAATGACTGTGTGAAATAAAACAATAAAGAACCAGTTCTTAGTTACGCTGCACAATGTGACACAGATTAAGGCTTCATTCTGACTTTGGCCTGTTGGAGTGCGACACACAGACATGTGACCGGGGAAGAGCGAGCTCAGCACAGTGTGGGAACAAGAGGGAGCGAGAGAGTCAGAGTGGAGTGTAAAAGGAAAGAGGCTGTACCTTCACCCAGCGTCCTCTTCAGCACGTCATGTTTGGCCTGCAGTTTGGAGATGAGGTTACTGCCCTCCAGGAACTCCCGGAATTTCTGCAGAGAATTGAGAGTGATTACACGGACGCTGCGAGAGAGCTGGCAGAGCGCCCGCTTTAAAGAGCACAATCTACGATGAGAAAGCCGAGGGCAGAGGACGCGCCGAGAGCCTTTTTAAAGCCGTTATCAGAGCGTGTCCATCTTCAGAGTGGAACGGGAGCAGAGCTGTTAGCTTTAATAATGGTAGAGTTTACACTGTGAAGACTCCAGAGGAGGTTGATGCTGCAAGTCCAACCCTAACCCTAAAGTTAAGATAAAAGCCCTCAAGTCATACTCATATCTACAGCTATTCACTAACTTTCTACAGCCACAGACGACCCCTCACCATGAAGTAGAACTGCTCCGTCTCCTGCTGGTTGGCCCTCCTCTTGGCGATGCTCGGCTTGCTGAGGTACGTCTCCGACACGGTGGACTTAACCGACTCTGTGGACCGGCTGTGGTGGAAAGACTCGGACACGTCGTAGTCTTCAATGGTCACCATGTCCTGGATGGTGGTCAGGGTGGCCTCTGACGTCTTTTTGATCTGGAGAGACGAGGGAGGTGGAAGAGATTGTTAATGCAAGAATCATCCGTCTTCACGGCTACAAATCAATCAAAATGTTAGCATCACTGAATACTCAGCGTTTTGCATCATCACGCTCTCTGAAACGCTTTCACCCTTTCCAATGACACTCTAAAGTCAGGCGTCTTCTGACAAACACAACCTGAACATGACTCCCAGCCAAACAATCCATTTTGCATGCACTCAGAAGAGCCGAGCCAGCGTCTGCAGGAGAAGGAATGTTCAGTCGCAGGCTTTTACAGTCAGATTCGTTTCCATAACAACCTCTTCCCTGTCGTCAACAGGAGTGCTTCTCCCCGAGCTCATAAATGTCCGGACTCTGCAGAGCGTTCCCCACACTTACTGAGAGGGAAGTCGAGCCAGAGCTGCCGGCCACGACTGTGTCCACTATAAACACAGTGAACGTGACAAAACAATGGGAACGCAGGAGAGTTTATAAGAGCTCCATGTTAGGGATGAAACAAAAAGACTGTAGTACACAGAAGCTGAATACGACTACAGGGATAATAACCATATCACACAAATATGGTCAAATATGGGCAGTGTTTAGAGGAGGGAAAAAAAATCAACTTATGTAAAATATCGAGATTCTTCTCTTCCAAGATTTAAAATCGATTCATAACTTCCAAAAATTGAATTCATTTATTTTTATTTATTTCATTGTATTCATAGTAGTCGCGTGCAGACACTTTAGACAGTCACTGTATATAAACGTCATTCTCTTTCCATTGGCTGAAATTGAAATCTCCGGAGTATATGCTGCCACGTTCAGACATCAGCTCACTCGGATTTCACATTTTGTGGTTCGGTAGACACTCAGGTTACCCAGATACATGTTCAGAAACACTGTAGAAGAGGATTTTTCATAATATGTCCCCTTTAAGGGAAGAATGTGCGACATTTGACACATAAATAAAGCAAAAATCAAGCTCAAAGCAACGCCATAAAACTGTCAAACTATTTCAGTCTGGAGTAAGGGGATATTCACCGAGGCATCATTTGAAATGTATTTCTTTAATTCTTAAAATAAATCCTTGACTCTATTATATGATGAAAAAGACCCAATGAATTATACAAATGGATAAACCATGCTCACTACTCGTTCCTTTCATGAACTGTAACTGCATGTTTTATCAACAAGTTATAAAAAATAGGACTAAAGCCTTGAATCAGACATCAACACGGTGACTGTTGTACCAGATGAGTCTCACTGAGTTACAGCTCGGTGTACTGATAGAAGATGGTTAAAAGGTCTTTAAGGGTTCAGACAGTTACAGAATGAGGGGACAATAATGGAGGCCGGACAGACGGGGAGGACAGATCCTGACGAGCCTGACTCCCTGATGTGGAAAAGCTGAAGAAGGAACGAGGCGGCGTGCATGAAGGAACACCGCCTCGACAGAGTGTGTTTGCTTTTAAAGGAAGGAGGGGCCACACGGGGGTCAACAGGGCCCTGAGTGAGGCACAGCTGGAACCCCTCCTAATTATTCCTAATGGTCTTCTTGGGGACCCCCACTCAAAGGTAGTGACCCCATTCCTCATTAAGAAGAGAGTCTGACCTTTAGGCTGATGAAAGAGAAATGACACACACACACACACACACACACAACCCCCCCCCCCCCCCCCCGCTGGATTATAGCTCAGCTTTCAAACAGCTTGACCTGTGACTCCTTCAGGCCCCGTGACGACGGATGAGGACTTCTTCATGTCCTTCATGTGACGGATCACTGTGCGGACAAACTCAGTGTGGATAAAGTTACAGCGACATCCATCCCATAACGAAACAGAAACACACTGCAGGTCAGAACACGACTGGACAGGGGACGAGGGATCCTGCCTTCATGAACTCACACAGACCTGTGTGGACGGAATAGTCCAGGTCTGGCACATGGGCCTGGTTCTTCTAAAGGACTGATCCAGATCCAAACAATCCAGATCCAGCTCACTTTTATTCACTTTTTATTGACTTTGACATTAAAGGCAGGGTTGGTAAATTCCTCCAGATCCTTTTTAAGATTTTGGTTGAAATTGTTTTTAGGTCCTGACAGTGAAATTAATAACTCGTGTTCTCTGAAAAAGGAACAATGAAAATCGGTCATCTGTATCAGTTTCTAAGTCTGTAAAAACTTCAACCAATGTCTGCCACGAGGTACCAATCTGATGAACCAATCACACGCCTCCCTGTCTCCCTGCTCGTTCTCTACCCCTTGCATGAACTAGCCCACACTCAAAGCATGAGCTGAGGTCCGCTTCTGGAGCAACGGAGCCCGTACATGTAAATGAGGGGCGTGGCTTTAGAGGGAGAACAGAGGGAGGGGGTACAGACGGAGCACTGAGGGAATGCTACTTTCAATATCATGCTGGTTTCTGAAAATGTTCAACCCTGCCTTTAATGCATAAAGACGGGCTCAAACATGCAAGAGAAACTTAACAGTGAGAAAACTGTTAATCTATTATTCAACAGACGCATAGTTGCCAGTGTTCACTGCATGGCTCAATTACAGCAGAGCTCTTAGTGAAGACGTTAGCAGTGCCGCAGGCCTGGAGAAAGTGTCACAGATTGCATTAAGTTTCTTTCTTTCTCATAAAGAACCCGAGTCTCAGGTGTTTGTGCTGCTCCAAACAGCAGAGGACAAAAACAAGCAGCTGAGATTAAAACTGAAATAATTTCATTTTCACACCGTTAAATCAACATTAGTCTGCAAGATAGAGAGTCTCAGGAACAGTCTGCTGCATGTAGCTTTACACAGAGCAGCAAGTGTTGAATCTGCTGATCATGCTGCTACGAACACACACACACACACACACACACACACACACACACACACACACACACACACACACACACACACACACACACACACACACACACACACACACACACACACACACACACACACACACACACACACACACACACACACACACACACACACACACACACACACACACACGCGGCTTTGATGTGCTTCCCTGAGATTTGTCTGAGGAAAAACAAACCCTCCCTCCAGTCAGATGGTTTAAGACGGCCTGCGTTTCTTCAGAGAAGAACATCAGCCGCTGTGCGCTCTGCTTGCCGTGGATCTAAATGATCTAAACGCTCTCATTATTACATCTGAAAAAGAGATGAGCCACGCTGACTGACGAGCTGAGATGATCGTTACTCTCAGAGAGAGGCGTCGGGTTTGTAATGAATATAATTCAATTGTAATCTCTGCAGAGAAGCACCCTGCAGGGCGACTCTAAAGAGGAGTGAGAGAAGGAGTTTTCTCTCCACCCATCCATGATGCAGAGTAAATTATTCAGCAATGTTTTCTTTCACCGTTTCACAGAAGTCAAAGAGGTTTGAGGAAACAGCTGCACTTCTATGGAGCACTGCCCTGCAGCCTTTCCCGGCCGGATAAAGACAGACTCCCTTTTCTCTCTCTTTGCACATTCGACAGCCGCACTCGTAGGTCGTCGCAGAGCTCTGAAAGTTCATTTTCAAGGATGTATCTGGCACGCTGTGGCCGGGAAGAGAGGCCATCTGGTGATTCTAACACAAGACAGCAGCGCCCTCCAATCCTGACCCACCAGGACATCCGCTGAGGCGAGGCAGGCGGAAAAAGGACACGAAGCAATCAGGGCCTGTCATCAAACCCTAATACACACACACACACACACACACAGAACACAGCAGTGCATGTGTGTGTGTGCCTTGTTGCACCACAACTGTACATGCAGCAGGCAGCGTAAACTGTAGAGACACAAGCAGGAGAATCAAGCACCACAGTGACTCTGAATGAAACATGGTAGAGCTGCAGCCGAGGGCTTTTCCATGACTAATGAATCATTTTTAATTATGAAGCAGTTTTAATAAAGTCGCTACACTGACTGGAACCAGAAAACATTTGCCTCCTGTGCTCCATCGCTCACTTAATGAATGAACTCATTTGAGACAAAGTTTAGTGAAGTTCCAATAGTCTGATAATTTCTCACTTGTTTCAGCTCTAGCACACCTGTTTCAGCGTCATCTCTTATTTCAGTCGATGTCTTTTTCTCTCAGTTTCACTGAAATGTCAAAAATATGATCAAAGGCCCTCTGCAGTCACTGTGGGCGTAGAGGAGGTTGACTGACATGTTTCTGTGCTTCTGTTCATCTTTGTAGCAAGATGAAAAGAGGGAAGGTGCATCGAAGTGGAAGTAGAGAGAGAGAGAGAGAGCGAGAGAGAGAGAGAGAGAGAGAGAGAAGCAGGTCAGGTGCTAAAGCCAGCCTGACAAAATGCTGCAGTCACTCTGTGCCTGTCGAGTTTCTCCATCTTGCTGCAGACAGATTAAAAACAATTGCGCCTGAGAAGCAGAGAAGCACCCTGCAATGTCAAAACACAGCAGTGTGGGACAGGTGTGTGCAAATAAAAGCAAGACGGTGAATTCTACCGCTGGGAGCGAAAACGGAGGCTTCACAGAGAGCGTTTGATGGCTACCTGCAGGGCATGAGAGAGAGGAATATACACAGTGTGTGTGTGTGTGTGTGTGTGTGTGTGTGTGTGTGTGTGTGTGTGTGTGTGTGTGTGTGTGTGTGTGTGTGTGTGTGTGTGTGTGTGTGTGTGTGTGTGTGCTTGTGTGTGTGTCTGCCTGTGATGTGCGTCTGCAACACAAACTTTGATTCTTCAGAGATCATCAGAGACTGTTCTCTGCCTCACCTTGGAAGACTTCTGGCTAAAGTTAAACTTTTTTTTTTTTAAGCTCTGACGTTGACAAACACAAAACTCCTGCACCTCCGACAGACGACTAAACTGGAGCAGCACAGATTTGTTTTGACAGCTTCCACTCCTTAAGCAGCACAAAAATCGTTTACAAGGATCTGACTCGATCTGCGTCACTTTACCTCCTCGTTCTCAATCTTCAGAGTCGCCAGGCGGGACTGAAGCTGCTGGAACCTGAGGATGAGCTCTCCGTTCACAGGCGGCTGCACGGAGATCTGGCACACCTGGAGAGAGAAACGAAGGAAGACGTTGTGACCATGACAACCTGAAATGACAACCTGACGAGGGAACAACATGACCGACGGTACAAATCAGATGCAGGTGGCTCAAATCTCCTTCATCCCAGGACAAACCGCAGTGACTTCTGCCCGCTGAACGCAGACGGCAACACAACAGCAGCTTGTAAACAAACATGATATCAGCATCGTCGGTGCCAAACAATGAAACTCAGAACACATGTGGAGCTCACCGACTGCTGGGGGAGAGTTAACACGTGATTAGTCAAAGTCAGTGCTCTATAAAACCTGATCCCACCGCCCAGACGTAGTAAAACTCTGCAGTAAAACCACCGAAATCCAACCTCATGAAGTCGGAGACGTTTTTTAATCGACTGCAAATACACTTAATGTTGTTTAATGACAACTCAATGTGAACAAACCGGGAAGTAGCGCAACATTCTTTCCTACAATCGGTACATTTCACTGCAGACTTTCTTATTAATGCTCTATTTTCAGATCTATTCCCAGTCTTCACACCGTGGTCAGTGTCCTCTGGCTTTAAGTTTAGAGAGATGCTTCAATTCTTCATCTGTGATTGTGTTTACAAATCGTCTAAACGAGAAATCTGACAGAAACGTCCACAAGTTTAAAGGTATGTCTGATGTTAATACCTCGTCTCCCATGTGAGGCTGGAACTCAAACTTGGCCGGTGGGCAGAAAGCTGTCGGGTACATCTCCATGAACCTCTGCCGGTCACTGCGGGGGTCCAGACTGTCCACGGCGTTCTCGATGATGTCCAGACCCTCGTGTCGGGACGTCTCCAGGTTGTATTCTGCCGACAGGTAGGTCCTCAGGGCGCGGTTCAGACTGGCATGGTATCCCAAATCACAGCACTGACATAAAATAAAAACATTCATGTCAGAAAGATGAGCAGGAGAACAGAACAGAACTCCACGTCTCAACAAGTCACTAGAAAAAGTTGGAAACACGCTCATTATTTTCTTTATTCAAACAGAAACCTTCAGATTATCTTCCCAGAAACCCGCAGTCCCTGTTTGTGCTGTTGAAATAAAGAAATGGACCCGAATATAATGGAAAAAACATCCAGCACTTTCTGAGCCAGACGGCTGTGTAACCCAATGTTTCCTCCAAGATCCACTGCTGATTTTTAATAACAAGAACCTCAGCTAAGGTCTCTACTGGGAGGACACACACACACACACACACACACACACACACACACACACACACACACACACACACACACACACACACACACACACACACACACACACACACACACACACACACACACACACACACACACACACACACACACACACACACACACACACACACACACACACACACACACACACACACACACACACACAAACACACACAAGTAGGCCATAACAACACACGCACACAAAAACGACATGGTCTGAGTGATGTGCAAACACAACTATAACACTTCCAGCTGGCTTGTGCTCTTTGTTTTCAGCTATAAAAAGTCTCCTTCATAAATAAACAAATGTGTGTGAGCCTGCACATACTACACGCACGCACACACACGCACGCACCCTGGTGGGATGTGAAGGCTGGTGAGCAGAGCGGGGAGAGGGGTAATTTCAGTGCTCAGCATGCGGCTGAAGAGAGGCCATGTTTCTCTTTCCCTCAGTCCTGTCTGGAAAATAAAAGTCTCCAAAAACGCTGCAAAAAAAAAAAAAACCTCCTTCTGCTGTTTCCTCTCTGCAGAATACGCTGCAGGAAGTTTATTTCTATGATGCGGCAATAACAACCCAGGTGAGTCGTACCATAAATAAGTCATGTTTACCTACACAGCTGCAAAAACATGCTGGCAGAGCACAGAGACAGAGAGAGAGAGAGAGAGAGAGAAAGAGAGAGAGAGAGAGAGAGAGAGAGAGAGAGAGGGAGAGAGAGACGTGAGTGCTGTAGTGAACTGAACATGAGTAGAAAATAAGAACACACACACACACACGTCTAGGTGCTACCCACACTCTGCATCCAGACACAACGAGATGAGGAAAATGTCCAAACAGGTAAAACAAAGCACAGATATCAGGAGAACAGAACTTTAAAATTTGAGATTATTTCATAATGACATGAAGTGAAAGAGGAAAGAATAGTTTATAATCCAAATTAGTCCTGTTCTGTCATTTCCTGCCCTCAGTTAGTTGTAAGTAGATTTGAGCTGCGTCGACACAGATTGACCGGGGCCGCCCTTCTTTGTCACCATCTCATTACACTAAATATAAAGACACATTCATCTGACAAGCTCAGATAAACATCTTCTCCTTAAACACTGAAGCTTCAGCGTTTAGCCAGCACGTTGTTTCATACTTACATCTGTCAGGTCGGACAGGTCGTGGATGTAGTATTTGAACACAGAGGAGTTTGACGCCTCCAGGGTAAGCAGGTACTCGTTCCTCGCTTTGATGGACTTCAGCTTGTTCTCGGAGTACTTGGCTTGACGCTGATGAGAGAATTAGAAACGAGAGATAAGCAAACAGAAAACAACAGAGCGAGAGAAGGAGGCAGGAGAGAGTCGCCTTCTTCACCAGAAGTGATTGGGCTTTTCTGTCTCTGCTTCTCCGAGCTCACGCCCGATTACTGGATAAACAGAATCAATAACATTACAGACGTCAAAAACAGGAACTGAAAACAGACTGTGTCCTTTTTCTTCAACTACAGTCTGAGCCATCCATCTTTTTTTGTCCACTGGAAACAGTCAAACAGAGTTCTCTTTTTGTTAGTCACCATCATCCACTGACCGCTAGTCTGACTCACATGCCTCCAAAACCTCCAGATTTTAACACTTCCCTTAAAGCATGTGAGCGGGGTCTCTGCTGCAGGTGAGCAGGGCCTCTGCTGCGGCCCAGACGATACCACGTTTGAAATCCTGATCATATGTTTTGTTGAATAAAAAACTACAGACAGAGTTTCTGATCTAAAACCTAACATCAAAGACTTGAACTGGATTATTATCGAACCCCCCGGTCTTTTACCTTCTCCTTCATCTTCTCGATCTTCTTCACCGAGCTGCGTCTCTGGTATTTGTCCTCCATGCGGATGCTGAAGACGGGGTCTCCCCTGCCGATCTGCTTCTCCTCCTGCTTCTCGGCCTCCTTCAGCTTGCTCTCTGCGCTGATGCTCTCCGAGTGGTACATGTGGTACGTCTTCATTACCTGGACACAAACAGAGAAAGGTTAATGAACTGAAAAATCTCTTCAGGCCTGCTCGATGTTACTCAGTGTAAGAATGTTGAGTTTGGGTCTGTTTCTGAGAGATGTCAGAATAATCGGTCTTCTTCGTCGTGACTGACCCACAACTAAAGCTTCCTCTCTCAGCTCGACTTATTCATCACAAATCGATTCAGCTTGTCTCTCAGCAGGCGGCTCGGCTCTTCCTGAACCACAAACCAAAGACAGATTCTCTCCGTCCTCTTTCATAAAGACGCTCTAATGACCGCAAGAACCACAAATCACTGCAGCTCAATCCAACACGCTGCCTTCACTGCTCTCTGTTTGAAAAGGAAAAAGGACACTCAGGAAGTAGAGTTGGGTTTTCTCTTCTGGTTCTGGACAGGAAGTGACTGTGCTTTGATTCAGATCTGGTGTTTGCCACAAATATGAGAAAAGTCCAAGTAAACGCTACAACACCATTTTACTGTGTTAAAGTCTAAGACTGTATAAAACATGGACGTCCAGAAACAGACAAACAGGTGGAGCTGAGGCGGGGCTTAACAGTCTGTCCTAAATGCACGCAATGTGAGCGAGCGCCAGGAACAAAATCGGCTTGATTCTATTGTTTCCTATTAGAGTGACCTTTGACTTGAAACAACACCGGAGAAAAACTTTATTCAGCTCACCGCGAGGCCATTTATTGACAATCCTCAGAGTGTCGAGAGTTGGTTGTCGCAGGTTGCCATGTGGTGGACACTGAAGCTTCAGTGTTTATCCAGCTCTGCATCGGTCTGTAAACCTTTCTGTGTTCTAACCTCTCTCCATTTTTCAAAAGCATCTCCAATATTGATCCTAGTTTGAGCACGTTTCTGCTCGTGGAGCTTATTAGAAACATGCAGAGGCTTTTTAGGTCGGGTACAATCACTTCTATCTGAACCACTTCTCTTGCTGCTTCCATCACTGCAACACCTGTTGGTTTGACCTGATAACTGCTCTCATATCTGGCAAACTGAGGGGCGTCCAAAACGGCCGTGTGGGGGGTGTCTTAAAACCGCCTACCTTCTCTGGTCCAAACAAATCCAGAGCATTCAGGACCAGAATCTAAAGTTAGAAGGAGGACATACTGGCTGCTGCATTGTTGTCAGAGAAGCCAGCACTTCAACATAGCATGTTTCCTTAATGTCTGATCATACAGTAAGGTTACTTTATCATCTCACTCACTACATATCTTACTGATTGATCCTTTAAATGATGGAGACTCCCTTGCTGACTCAAATATTTAACAATAATTTCACATGTAGCTCTTGTTTCTGCCCCTTGTGTGGTCAGTTTCTATTGAGTACAAAGGAAATGCATCACTGAAGCTGAATGTCTGATTGGCTCTGCTTCCTGATGTTGGAGTCATGGCTTTAAGTGGAGGCTGACTCAACTCTTAAGAAGCAGGTGAACCACAAAAACCCAAACAAAGAGTTCTTGAAGAGAGCCGAGGGATGATAAAAGTCGTATTAACACAGAACAGAAACACATCTGTGCGCTCCAAGAGGACCGTGGACATGAATCAGCAGCTGAGGGAGAAACACTGAGGACGTGAAGCCAACACAGAGAGTCATCACAGAGAACTCAGTGACCTTCACAGACGCTTCAAAATGACTCATCAACATTTAGAGTATTACTACTAAACATTCAGACAACATTTACGGGGGGATGTGAAGAGGAGCTTCCAAAGCCACCTGGTAACAGTTTGTCGAGAGGCTTAAAACCAGCCTCTAGAATCCTTACACCAAACATGTTCTAAATCTGTCTCCAGGTAGTTATGAGGTCACTAGAAGAGCCTGAACAGAGGCTGTAAATGTTTGAATAAATGTCGGAGATCACCATCTTCAGTGACGGGACAAGGACGGTGCACCACATGTCAAACTTTTCATGTTGTTCAAACAGCCTCCTCGTTCTCCTCACAGTGGTTACACTTTCAGCCTCTCTGCGTGCTGCTGCAAACACGACTACGTGTTACTCCTGACTGAATGTGTGTCACTCCGACCACAGTCCAGATCTGACCCGGTTTAGCTCCTGTGAGGAGAAACACACACACACACAAACACACACACACACACACACACACACACACACACACACACTAACCCATGCACACCACATTCAGCAGCGATTGCATCAGTCAGCCTCAGTCCCGTTGTCGGCCTCCACCAATGAAATAACAGGTCTGCTCCGTCTCTAAATGTGTCCTTTCTAAAAGAAACACCAAAGTAAACAGACTCCAGACCAGTAAGTGCGGAGTGCAGGCCGAGGTCAGTCACCCGTCTCCAAACTGGTTCCAGTTGGCCGAACCCCCACCAAAGGCAGAGGGCTCCGCACTGTGCTGCTGTTGTTCCGATCAGACTAAAATAACTCGGTTTGGGGGGGTTGGGGGGAAGATGTTTAGATGTGGAGCTGGGCGAGTCTCTGTTTGTGCTGGAGTCGAGGTTAGGTGCAGACGACTTCTGGAGCTGTAATTTACTGGAGTTGGTTCGTTCCAGGTGAAACCACTAGAGCTCCACGAGACCGTTTTTTTCCCCTTTATTACCGCACAGGAAGTGAAGATTCTTTCAACCAATCAACGGACTGCAGAGTGTCTAGCTCCAACCTTTAGGGTCGGAATCAGTATGCTTGGCACCCCAACAGAAGGTTACCAAAAAGTAGGACGGTACGAATCAGTTATTTTGGTATCCTTCCCAACTTTTGACAGTGGAAACGCCTATAAATATGTGGGACAGACCTCCTGAAGCTGCTGGGTCACAGACTGAACGTTAGAGCTTACAGTCGTTACTACTTACTGTGTACAGCTCGTTGAGGACCTTCATTAAGTCTTCCTGCAGCTGAAAGGCGATTTCCTTACTCTGAAAAAGAAACACAATGAGAAAGACGATTAGAACAGGATCACAATTTGACACAACAGAAGTTCGAGTTAAAGCTATGGAGTTATTGTTGCAAAAATATTTTCAAACGTATAAATAAATAAATCTTTAATGTATTTCCAGTTCTAAGAGAAAAAACACATTTCCACCTTTAAAAACCATCCATGCAACTACAAACTGCTGCACATGTTTACAGGGTCGACCGATACGGGAGTTTTGGGGCCGATACTGATATCGATGTTGGAGAAGAAGAAAATCTGATATATTGGCCGATATCTTTCATAGAAACATGTATTGTGTTGATCCCTCCCAATCTCTGCTGGTGAAAGAGAGCTGCTAGTGTAATACAACGATATTCGTATGAAATGCTATTTGACTGGTGAATAAATTTTGTCATATCTGAGACATACCAGTAATTAGCCCATGCCAATAGTCACTGGATATGCTAATATCGGCCGTTATTATCGGCTGGTCGATTCATCGGTCGGCTCTAAATTCCAGATCTGTGTGCACATTAGTGGATCTTTTTAAGCATCTTCAAATAGTTCCACATATAAGCTGTCAAACCAAAACAGTGAACCAGAACTGCAGCAGCTTCTTTATTCTGTTGGTGTGTTTTTAAAGTGCTGGTGGACAGAGAGCAGCACTGTTGACCTGTGCTCTGAAAGATAAAAATACCAAACAGAACAAAGAGATTTATCATCGTGTGGCAAATGAAAAGGTTGTGAATGTGGCGTCAGTGTCAGGATGGCTTTTCAGCTTTAAACTGTCGAACGTAGCTCGGGTTTCACTGCCCACATGCTTGACGCATTATCTCGCTTCCACGCCTCAGTTTGAAAGATTTTTCTCAAACATGTTAACTCAATCAGCCGTGCCACAGCGCTGACTCAGTAATACTATCACACACACACACACGTTAATGCACCTCCCCGTTATGGGATAGCGTTTAACAGTGACGCTGTGATGGAGTCAGAGCAGCTCTCACTTTTAATTCCCCTCTGCTGCTCCATATTTCCTCCACTCGTATGCTGTATCACATGTTTAAGAGACTATGAGTCACCATGATGAATCTTTGACATGCTGCTACCTGGATGATGTTTCAGCCTCGGCCTGCACTCCAGCTCGGTCTCTAACCCAGTTATCCTCAGACAAATCTCATTCTGGGAGCCGCTCCCAGAGAACCGCTGTACTAGGTGTGTGGTGGAGAAGAGAAGCGATTTATTCTGATCAAACTGGAGGACAGAGAAGATTTTTCAAGGAGTGGAATCTGTAAAGACAACCGGCTGAGTCGTGAAAGTAAATGTTCTGCCTTTGTACAACACGCGTTACTGGAGGATTCCTCTAGAGGGAGCATTACAGAAATCAGACGGCATTAAACACTGAAGTAGAGATGATGTGCCACCAGATTGCATGCTTGTTGCTATGCAACGACAACGACACATCATTGTGCGGGTATCTGCGGACTTGATCTATTAAAGGCAGAGTTGGTAATTTTGGAAAACTAGCATGATTTTGAAAGTAGCATTCCCTCAGTGCTCCGTCTGCACCCCCTCCCCTCTGTGCTCCCTCTAAAGCCACGCCCCTCACTTACATGCACAAGCGCCATTGCTCCAGAAGCGGACCTCAGCTCACGCTTTGAGTGTGGGCTCGTGCATGTGAGGGGTTGAGAATGAGCAGGGAGACAGGGAGGTGTGTGATTGGTTCATCAGATTGGTACCTCGTGGCAGACATTGGTCAAAGTTTTTACAGGCTTACAACTGCTACAGATGACCGATTTTCATTGTTCCTTTTTCAGAGAACATGAGTTATTAATTTCTGTCAGGACCTAAAAACAATTTCAACCAAAATCTTAGAAAGGATCTGGAGGAATTTACCAACCCTGCCTTTAAGTTTTTTTCTTCTAAACTTTCCACTTGTCGTAGGGGCTCTCTGGTGTCTCCGATGTTTTTCATTTCCGGTCTCAACATTCTACAACTCTACTAAGGAAGCTCCAACCTCCGCAGGATACGCAAGGCTGATGTCATGTGTTCCTGTAGTTAAAAGCAAGAATACTCAGGGCTTAAGTGGAGCATGTAGTCGTCTCAAACCCATTGGTACGGGACAAAGTAGCCTAATTATTCACAACTCAATAGAAAGCAGGATTTCTAGCTGACAAGTTTAACAGTTCAGCTGTGTCATGCTTGTTGGATTGTCAAGGTTTGTGTTTGATTATCTCACCTGTCCCTGAATGATCAGCTTTACTCTCAATGTGTGTGTGAATCTCTCCCTCTTAGCTCTACTAATGTGAGAATAATAAGAATATCTGTCTTTATATCAATGCTACGTGTAGTTCAGCAGAATCACAATCTGAACTAAAGAGTGGAGAAGAACATACTGCAGAAAAGGAAACATAATGCAGTCATTTAATTATGTGCACAGCGATTGCAACGGTTGCCTGCAGACAGTCTATTCTCCTGATTATATCCTGCTGTGTTCTCACATCAGCTCACTCTGACTCTCTGCAGAATAAATACGAGGAGGCTGGAGGAGAAACTCTGGGTGAAGAGGGAAACATTCAGCTGTTTGTGTTCACACATGACGCTCACCCAAAAAACTTCAGGAGTTTTGTGCAGGAGTGAGGAGGACGATTGGCATCATCTCGTCCCCACCACCTGCTCTGTCAGCTGCCTGATCTGTAGCTCATAGCTGATCAGAGAGAGCAAACAGAGCGTGAGGATAACCCGAGCTTTAGAGGCGCCAAAGTTGGCACGAGTCAAACCCAGGCATGTTTGAGAATGGAATGGAGATAAAGAAGGCACGGAAAGGTCTTGATCATTAATAGACTGATCTGCTGTTTGAGTTAAAAGCAGATCTGCAACTGTATCGCAGAAGCTTTTCAGGAGTTTTGTGCAGTAGTGAACAAGGCTGTATAGACTCTGTCGCACCTTGAGCGACTCTAATTTGCATGTTTGTGTATTAAAATGGTTTAAACGTCTGCTTTTGGGTCCTCTCCCTTTGCAACGCCACTAAACTTGAAACATCCAGCAGCTTGAGTCAGACTTGCTGACATAGAGACTGTTTACATCTTGCATTGAAGTCCCTCCTTGGAGGTCTGATATCAAGTGGATGGGTGAACGCACCTCGACGTGCCCTGAGGACTGATTGAGATCTGACAGCTCAGACCACATACAGAGGTTGTCTGGGATTCAATCAGCCACATGGGTTTAGTAGAGGAGACGCTCATGTATCCTGGGCAGCGATTAAGGACCGCCCCCCTAAACTGGGAGCACGCCGCCTCCCTCAGGGTGTAAACGATGATGCATTCAATCTCCTCAAACAGACGAGCGCTTATCTGAAAGTGTTTATGGTTGGCTCTTTATTTCCTTGATTGTTGTTTCAACCCTCATCTCACTTTCTTTAACGATCAGAAAAGGCTCAAACATTTGTCAATCACTATGTCATTGAGCAATAACAACAAAGACGGCTGCAGGCAAACATCGAGAGCCAAAATAAAAAATTTGAAACTAAATCAAATTGAAACTAAATTTGAAATCAAATCGTTATGTGCATCTTCACGCACGCACGCACGCACGCATGCACACACTAAATTAAATATTGTTTGTTTACAGGAAGATTTCTGCAGGGCTCCAATAAAAGATATGTTGGATTACAGAGAGCTGTGAATAATCTGCAGGAAAACTTTTGCTGCAAACAGATTTGTTAGTCGTCCATCTGCAGAGATGAGCTGCAGGGTTCAGAGTCTACACAGACTCACTCAAGTAACTCAAGTTGTTTGTATGTTTTAAAAGATACAAACATATAAGGCTTTCACACTTCTCGACTGTATTTGTACACAAAGGTGTGTCTCTCTCTCTCTCTCTCTCTCTCTCTCTCTCTCTCTCTCTCTCTCTCTCACACACACACACACACACACACACAAACACAACAACATTAAGCTCTAGGAAAGAACTCTATTTGCCTCTCGGTCTCTCCTTTTTCCACAGTCCAGGAGAGCTGCGCGTTCTTTCACCTCCTCGACATGTGTACTAGATTTCAGCTTCCTGTTTGCTGCGGGCGAGACTGCTCCCATTGGTTGTTGACAATGTTAACGTCATTGAGTAACACAATTTGCATAAGATCAGCCTCAAGACAAGAGTCAGAAAGTGTGAAAGCCTTAGAAGTGTCAGGCAGGTAGAGCTACACAATGTCCGAGCATGGGAATAGGCGGTTAGGAGGATTACGCTCTCAGTCAGTGGCCGGTGTCTGAGACAGTCTGAGTGCTCTGCTGTCTGACTGGCATCATCTTCTCCCCACCACCTGCTCCGTCAGCTCCCTGATCTGTAGCTCATAGCTGATCAGAGAGAGCAAACAGAGTGAGGATAACCCGAGCTTTAGAGGCGCCAAACTTGGCACCAGTCAAACGCAGGCATGTTTGAGAATGGAATAGAGATAAAGAAAACACGGAAAGGTCTTGATCATTTATAGGTTCAACTGTAACTGTATCCAGCAAAGTGCTCGTCAATCGTTGATTCTTACATCATTGTGCACGAGCTCGTCAGAAAATACGTGAGGACTTCTCCAGAGGGAACATTCATTAGTAACCGTCAGCTGAGAGGACAGAACCTTTGACTATCTGTCACATCCAACACTCGTCAGCTCGGCTTCAATGAAGGAGGCTGGGAAGTGATCCAGAGACTCAATGAAAAGGAGAGAGAGAGAGAGAGACAGACAGACAGAGAGGGAGAGAGAGAGAGAGACAGAGAGGGAGAGACAGAGAGAGACAGAGAGAGACAGAGAGAGACAGAGAGAGACAGAGAGGGAGAGAGAGACAGACAGAGAGGGAGCGAGAGAGGTAGAGAGGGAGAGAGAGAGAAAGCAATGGAGAGAGAGAGAGAGAGACAGACAGACAGACAGAGAGGGAGAGAGACAGAGAGACAGAGAGAGACAGAGAGAGAGAGAGAGAGACAGACAGAGAGGGAGAGAGACAGAGAGACAGAGAGACA